GAATATGCAGTTGTGATATATAATTTCCAAACGGGAATAGCCAATCGGTCGATTTTAGTCAAGAAACATTGTTTTAATGCTAAATTAATATCTTGACCTTTAGAGGGAGCTATACAACATAAAGAGTTTATTATTTACAATTTCTTCTTTAAACTTGATTTCAACCGCGACAACGATCACTGAATACTGTAGTATCGCATATGCTTCCAATATATTCATTTGAACCAAATTCATGACCCCATACCAAACTTTGTATTACCTTTAATATAATTTTGTTTGCTTATTTAATTTCTATGAATAGCGACCCTTTCTGTATTATGAATAGCGAACCCTCTTATTGTATTATGAATAGCCACCCTCTTCTCGTATTATGAATAGCGACCCCCTTCTCGTATTATGAATAGCCACCCTCTTCTCGTATTATGAATAGCCACCCCTTTCTTCGATTATGAGTAGCGGTTCTTACATGTATGAATAAAGACCCTAATGAATAGTGACCCTTTTCTCAAATTATGAATAGTGGTCCTTATGAATAGCGGTCCTTATGAAAGCAGTCCTTATGAATAATGACCCTTTTCTCTTATTTTGAATAGCGACCCTCATTCCGCATCATGAATAGCCACCCTCTTCTCACATTATGAAAAGCAACCCTCCTATTCGATTATGAATAGCGGTTCTTACATGTATGAATAATGACCCTAATGAATAATGACCCTTTTCTCAAATTATGAATAGTGGTCCTTATGAATAGCGGTCCTTATGAATAGCGGTCCTTATGAATAGCGGTCCTTATGAATAGTAAGCAGATCTCATTTTAACAGACCTTTAGATGAACATACATGTGGTATGTACACTGCATTTCAACTTTTAAACAAAAAGGGTAACTGCCCAATTCTCCATTGACAATTCTAACAGGTCTTAAAAATAAAGTAGTCCTTTTTATATTTAAACTGGTGTCTATTGGACATTTCTAGTTCATACCTTTACAAATAAAAGTATTTCTTGTGCAAGCTTCATTTAAGGTTCTTGTTAACATTGTTCAGATGAGAGAAAATGGTGATAAGGTAGTGACTTCAATGCTCGATATACATTTAAAGATAATCTGAAAGTTTGAGTGAAAACAGGCTATCAAAATTTGAAAAAATGATCTGCTTAATTCCCGAATTCTCCCAACTATATTATCATATGTATCAACTAGGTTTTTAGCAAGGACAATTAAAAAAAAAGCATTACAAGCCGTTCGACTGTAGTAACACTCCTTCATAAAGAAAACAACATCTTAGGCCAGCCCCCAGGGGTTGTTAAAGAGAAGGGAATGCGAGGGATATGAAGGGAAACAATATCAGTGTCTGTAACAGCAGCTTAGCAATCTATAACCCATCATTATCTAAGATAATTTTTATTTTGTTATCATTTCAACGCATACACTCAATAAGGATACATTCAGCTTAGTTCCCATCATCCTGAGCTGGTTTGTATGGAGTGTTGATACATGGCAGTTGTACTACAAGTTGTAGGGCTTGCTTGCATGAATGCCAACCAGGTAATCTGTTGAATCAATAATAAAAGAAACATATGCAAACAAAATCTAGTGATAAACTTTGCACATTATAAAACAAAAAGAAAAACATCATAACACTTTTTTTTTACTCCAAGAGATGAATTTTTGTAAGATAATCACACTGTGATTGGATTACCCTTTTACGGTTAGACTTCATGCATCGTAGGACTCTACGAGTTCGCTGCCCATCGACTAAAAAGTTATGAGTCTTATGTTTTTATCAAGTTTATGACAGAGATATAACCGTGTCAGAGGCGTCATAAATACATACGGTAGTACTTAGTCAGGATGTTGTCCTTAATCTTGGCAAAGAGGTCTTAGTGAAACACAAGCGCGTAGCCAGGATTTCATTTTAGGGGGGGGGGCGGTAGTGAGCACGCAAAGCGTGCAAATCACTTAAAGAGCGCGCGAAGCGCGCTCCTTAGGGGGGTGGGTGCAGCGCGGAAGCGGAAGCGCGGAAGCTTTGAAAGAAGACGATTCGTTGTACCTTTTTCGACTCATTATCCTTGTTTGAATTCAGTCCCCTCTCACGCGAAGCTTTGACGTTTCATTAAAATATTAGAGAAAAGAGATGATTCGTTGTACCTAATTTTCCGACTCTTAATCCTTATCTGTATTCAGTCCCCCTTTCGCGCGAAGCGCGGAAGCTTTGAAAGAAGACGATTCGTTGTACCTTTCTCGACTCATTATCCTTGTCTGAATTTAGTCCCTCCTCCCTCTCACGCGAAGCTTTGACGTTTTATTAAATTATAAGAGAAAGAAGACGATTCCTTGTACCTTTCTCGACTCTTAATCATTGTCTGAATTCTGTTTCCCCCCCCCCCTCTCGTGCGAAGTTTTGACGTTTCATTAAATTATTAGAGAAATAAGACGATTCGTTGTACCTTTCCCGACCCTTAATCCTAAATTTGAACTCAGTTCCCCCTTCCCGCGCGAATCGCGAAAGCTTTGACGATTCGTTGTACCGTTCTCGACTCCTTTTCCCTTCTTCTTCCTACGTCCTCTTTCTTTTTTTCTTCTCCTCTTTCTCTCTCTTTTTTTTTTGGCCGGCGTTTTTTTTGGGGGGGGGGCGACTGCCCCCACCGCCCCCCCCCCCTGGCTACGCGCCTGGTGAAACATGTAGCGGACAAGTAGCTTACTAAAGCTGATTTGGTCAAGAAGTTAGACTTATGACGGTTTCGAGAAACGGGCCCCGGCCTGGGTGCTAGCCGTAATTCACTAAATAGACTAGTAAATACCTAATAGTAATATAGATCTAACTTAAAGTGACTCGGTAACATTGCCTCAGATTCTGAAACAAAATCATGGATTTAGCTCATGCTGCAATCATAATTTTAAACCTTTAAACCTTTAGCTTAGCCTCTGTTAGGTCAGTCAGGAATCCCGTGACTTTTACAAGCCAATCGTCTGTCTGATTATCAAGTTTTTTATGATTGGAAATCGAAATCAAACTTTGCGTTTTCCTAACGGTTTTTATAAACTAGGGCCTAAGCCTAGTCTATTCAGGAAAATAAGTATGGTAAAACCAGTCACTCAAAGATTATTACTTTTTTGAGCCACTTCATGATCATTTTGAAGCGAAATTTGTTTAAGGCTTCAATATTCAGTAGGGAAGCTGGTACAAGAATAAGGATCATCTGCATTTTCGCAGACGTTTCCAATTTCCAATCTGCGCGTTGGTGATGCGAAAAACGGATTCCGCGATGTTTTTATTGATGCATTTTACATTGACTTAAGTTTGTACAGAGACTTTCACATTAGGGGCGATAAATCCTCGAGAAGACGGACAACCCATAAAAGAAGATGGCGCTTGTTTAGAAACCTATCCAAAATTTGACCCGTAACTCTGGCATGGAGATACCCTACTAAAACATACCCAAAATGAAGTAAATATTCATTAAATGTCCAAATAAAAATCGTGAGTTAAAAGTTGTTATGTTTATTACCTGTTTCGTGTCAATTTTCTTGTTACTTTTGGAGTATTTTTCGGAAAAACGATGATATCAGTATACCTACACTTTTTCACGGCAAACCGCTGCACAATACAAGTGCAAACCGATGGTGGGTTGCGGGCGGATGCGCGCCTGTGTGAAGTAATGTCTCGGATCCTCATTACGGTAGATAACTTCACACAGGCGTGCGCCCGCCCGCAATTCACCATCGATATGCACTTGTATTGTGCAGCGGTTTGCCGTGAAACCTGAGAAAAAGTGTATAGTAATATCATTGTTTTTCCGAAAAATACTCCAAAAATAACAAAAACATTGACACGAAACAGGTAATAAACATAACGACTTTTAACTCATGATCTTATTTGGACATTTAATGAATATTTACTTCATTTTGGGTATGTTATAGTAGGGTATCTCCACGCCGGAGTTACGGGTCAAATTTTAGATACGTTTCTGAACAAGCGCCAAGGAGACTGGGGTTATTTTCTTACAAGGAATCTGTTTTTTTTGCATGCCCTGATGCCCGCGCTGGGAACCTGAAACCCGCAGAGTGCCGATGAAAAAAAGACGTTCGCGAACGCAATTTGTCCGTTTTTACGACTAGGATATCCTTGTTTATGCAGACGATCCTCATTCTCGGACCAGCGCCCCTAATCATGTCATAAAATAATGATATTACACTGTATCACTGACATAGTAATATTATAAATAACACATAGATCTAGGGCCATGCATGATTGCATCTCAGAGTCAGACTTAACATTGTTAAACGATCCCTTGGATTTATCTATCATGATTTGTAGATCTAGATCTGGTGCTTGCCTACATCGAATTGAATCAGCTCAGCTCAGCTCAGTTTGCGTCTAGTCGACGAGTACGAGTGTGCTATTGCAATGGACTCAGTTTGAGAAATTGAGTGTGCTAGTTCGTAGGCCTACTAATAAAAGTAGGCCTAGATCTAGATCAATAACATTACTCAATACTAGGTCTATATCAGGATATTAGTATTACAACATGGAAATGAATGTATGGGAAAATGCATTGAGTGCATCTCTAGACCATTAATTGCATACCGGGTAATTTTTTCGCTGTGCAATTACTTTTATCCCTATCTTGTCAAAGATAAAAAACAAATAGAGCATAATATGAAGTTAAACCTACCATTTTCACAGAAATCATCGTAAAAACGTCTCGTCATAATAATCGTCTTCAATCAAGCTAGGCCACGGCTGGTTTTGTTTACGAAGCGCCCGCCCGCCCAAGCCAGGAGAAAAAAGTTTAAGATAAAGTTCACGATAAAGTATACGATATCGTCAATTTTATCGTGAAAAGTTCACGATAAAGTTCACGATATCGTGAATTTCGTGAATTTCGTCGTGAAAAATTGGCGATAAAATTGACGATATCGTGAATTTTATCGTGAATTTTTCGCGATTTAGTCTATTCGCGATGTCCCTTCAGGGCCACCATACATTTCACTTATTACGGATAGGTCGCACGGATAGGTCGCACTCTCGCCTTACTCTTGGATTATATCTTTGACTTTGTTTCTCATATGGAAATTGGGTTGTTCTTTTTGAAGTTTTTTGTTTTGGATTTATGTGACCACTTTTGGAATAGGAATTTTTCGTACTGAGGTAAGCAAACACTGTGGGCTTTTCATTTCATTTCATTTCATTTCATTGTGGTTAGCTGCACGATACGCGCTATTCAAATTTCGCGCCTTTTTTCGAAAGCCAATCATGGCGGCTCACGCCTCCGAGCCGGAAAGATCCATGATGAGCGAGGATGAAATGGTTTTTCAAACTGTGCAAAACAGGAATCCTGCAAAAAGGCAACGTGGGAGAAGCTCTACTAATATAGAGAACTTAAAACACGCCTCAGAATCATACTCTTCGAACACCACTTTCCACACCACTTCCCCAAACCCAAACCCAAAGGGCTTTAACATTTTCATAACCCCAATAGGGATCTTGCAAAGAATGTTAAGAAAAATCCAAAAGCATTCTGGAGATATGCCAAAGATAATCTGAAAACAAGAGGTGGGCTACCTGACCTCAGAAAGACAGATGGAACCTTCGCTACATCAGATGAAGAGAAAGCAGATATCTTGAACACTTTCTTTGAGACAACCTTTACTGACGAGGACACTTCTGCTATACCAGTTCTGGATTCTAGGCAACCTCCCGAATGCTTATCAGCACTTGTCATTACTGCAGATGATGTACATCACAAACTTAGTTTGCTTTCCAAGTTCAAAAGTGCTGGACCGGATGGTATCCATCCCTGTGTTTTACATGAAACCGCAGCATCAGTGTGTATTCCATTGGCCATCATCTTTACCAAGTCATTTCAAGAGGGCAAGCTTCCCTCAGCATGGAAAATTAGCCACGTTGTTCCTGTGCACAAGAAGGGGAGCAAGTTCGATGCTAACAATTACCGCCCAATAAGCCTGACATCAGTCCCCTGTAAGATCATGGAATCTCTCATCAGAGATAAGGTGGTTGAACATTTGATGTCACATGATCTTTTCAGTGATTCTCAGCATGGATTTGTCCCAGGTAGATCATGTGTTACACAACTGCTCCACACTCTTGAGGAATGGACTACCTGGCTAGATCAAGGAGAAAAGGTTGATGTTGTCTACTTAGACTTTCAAAAGGCATTTGACAGCGTGCCCCACCAACGGCTGTTGTCAAAACTTGATGCTTACAAGATCCAAGGGAACTTCAAAACATGGATTGCTGATTTCCTTCATGGCCGAACACAGAGGGTGGTGGTAAATAATGCCAGATCTCAGTGGTGCAACGTGAAGAGCGGGGTGCCCCAGGGCAGCGTACTCGGCCCAACACTGTTTGTTCTCTACATCAATGATCTCCCTGAGGTGTTGGACTCCACTGTAAGAATTTACGCAGATGACACCAAGGCTTTCTCATGCGTCTCTACTCCTGACCAACGCAAACTTCTCCAAGCTGACCTGTGCTCATTGACAGACTGGTCCTCAAAGTGGCAACTCCAGTTTAACGCAAGAAAATGCTGTGTTTTACATCTTGGATCTGGAGACTGTCAGGAGCGCTACACAATCGGGAGTTCAGCCCTGAGTACAGTTGGAGAGACAAAGGATCTGGGGGTACTTGTTGATGACAAACTGAAGTTCCACAGCCATGTGTCGTATGCCATCAACAAGGCCAACAGGGTTCTGATCAGCATCAGACGTGCCTTTCAGTGTCATGACACATCCACCATTCCCAAGCTGTTTAAGGGACTAGTGCGCCCCCTCCTTGAGTATGGAAATGTAATCTGGTCGCCAAGGTACATTTCAGACGCAAAAGCTGTGGAGAGAGTACAGAAGAGAGCAACAAAGATGATCTCCACAATGAAACACCTACCTTACATAGAGAGACTTAAATGCCTAAACTTGCCATCCCTTGAGTACAGGAGAAGGAGAGGAGACATGATTCAGGTGTACAAGATCATTTATGAGCATGACAGACTCAACCCTGACCACTTCTTCCAACTAGCAGACACACCAACAAGAGGGCATAGTCTCAAGCTTTCAAAGCCGAGGTGTAGGACAAATGTAAGGAAGAACACATTTAGTCACAGAGTGATTGACGACTGGAACTCTCTGCCTGAAGTAGTAGTTCAGGCTCCCACCATAGACGCCTTCAAAACCAGGCTTGATCGTTGCTGGAAGGAACAGTGTTATATCTCTCAATACTCGAACTGATTTTTTCAATTTCTTTGCTCCTGGGACATTGTACATGGTACATTGTCCAGTCAAGATGCAATCTCTTGCCCCTCTGCCTCCCTTGCATATAATGAGAATTATTATTAAAGAGTATGAGTACAAGAAGATAGACCAAGAAGATAGACCTGGAAGCTCGACTGCTGTCTCAGCATTCTTCCAGTATTTGCGGTAAAGGTAAAGGTAAAGGTAAATAGATAGGACAAAATCTTTGAACAAAGTAAATCCCATACAAATAGCCAAGGCAATTCGGGAAGTTTGCGTGAACCCTGTAGATTTTATCAAAACCACTAATACGGGACTCTTAATCAAGTGTAAAAATACTAAGCAGGTGAAGGCTATCTCAGAGATTAACAAAATAGGAAGTGTTGATGTAAAAGTCAGTGAAGGAGTGAATGGATCAAAGGGAGTCATTTATGACATCCCACAGGAAATGAAGGAAGAGGAAATTCTTAATGAATTGAAAACTCAGAATGTGATTGGGGTGAAGAGGATGGTAAAAAGAGTCCGAACAGATGAAACAATAGAAGGAAAGCGCCAAATCTCTCAAATTCCCATGCGCTGCGTTATTCTAACCTTCAGTAAAGTCACTATCCCCCCTGAAATCCACTTATGTTTCCAAATCAAGCGCGTAAAACAATATGTCCCACCTGTAATTAGATGTTATCAATGCCAAAGATTCGGACACAATGCTTCACAATGTAATTCCAATAAAAGATGCGTCAGATGTGGAGAAAACCACTCGTTCGATGACTGTAAAAAAAAAGAAGAACGAAAGTGCGTAAATTGCGGGGAAAACCACTCTGCAGCCTACAGCGGCTGCGCACAAGCAAAAAAGGCAAAGCAGGTTCAACAGATACGGTATGAAAAGGGGCTATCGTACGCAGAAGCAGCTCAGTCCTGGCAGCAACAAAACAAAAAAGTATCAAATCCACAGCCTATTCAACAGAAAAATAAAGCCAACAAAACATTGAGTAAGGAAACAGAAAAACAAACAAACGAACTTCCAGTGCGGAATGTTGGTAAACCTAATAGTACCTACGCACAAGCAGCTGTTCCGTCATTCCTGACCAGAGCAAACACCACCCCACAATTTCAAAACCAGGTTATTCCTCAGGTACCACAGAGTAAAGAGACCATTAATAATCAAGGAACGTCAAATGAAACACCACAAGGCACTCCACCTATGACCAACTTCATAGCCTCGGCTAGTGATGAACAAATTATAGATTTTATTTGCCAACTAATTTTTAAATTCACAGAAGGTAGAACTGAAAAAGAATTGAATACTCTTGTTTGCGTCGCAGCCAAAAGGGCGCTGCAACAAAATAGTACATATGATAGAACAAATGATAGTGATTAATTTACTCATGTCACTTTCCATTATACACTGGAACGCCCAGGGACTCTTAGGGCACGGCAATGAATTATTAAATTATTTAAACTTACACAAGGATTTTAAATATGATATTATTTGCATACAGGAGACCTGGTTTCATAATAACATTATTTTGAATATTCCAGAATATACATGCTTTCCTAGAAACAGACAAAATAATATTAGAGGAGGCTGTGCTATATATGTTCATGATAGGATTAAGTATGAGGGTCCTTTCACAGATGCAAACTTAGAATTACAACAAATGAATGTTTACATAGGGGGGAAAAATTGTCAATCATTAATTATTATAACCCTTGTAATAAACTGAATGAAAATATTATGAATAAGTTAATGGAAAATGTATCTAACAATGAAAACGTCCTTATAATGGGAGATTTTAATGCTCACAATGTTTTATGGGGCAGCGAGAAAACAGACAAAAACGGTGAAGTAATAGAACATTTTTTGAATAAGAACAGTTTGATTATTTTGAACAATGGAGAGGGGACCAGATTAGACCCACGAACGGGGAAAACATCATGTCTGGATCTAAGTATCACATCTCCTTCTTTGGCGTGTAAGTCTACATGGGGAGTCATGCGGAGTACTTTTGGTAGTGACCACTTCCCAATCTCTCTCCAAGTGTCTCTCGAAAAAAGTACAGATCCGCATAGAGCAAATGCAGGTATGCCTAATGGAAATGTGGTAGAAAAGCCTTTTTCTTTTAAGAATATAAGCTGGTCTAACTTTGCAAAGAAATGTGAAGAAGTATTAAATGGACAGATTACATTAAAAAACACAAATGTAAAGGAAATGTACACCCAATTTATGGAGTACCTAAAAGAAGTTATAAAGGAAGCTGTTCCCCAAAAGAGTAAAAAGAAACAAAACCCGGTCCCATGGTGGACAAAAGAATGTTCTGCTAAAATTAAAGAAAGAAATAAAGCGAGTAACAAGCTCTCTAAAGGTAGAATGATAACGCTGGAGAATATAGATGATTATAGTAACAAGAAAAAAATGGCACAACGAGTTCTCCGCCAAGCAGAACAAAAATATTGGCAAGCGTTTTGCACGAAACTGGACCGTTACATGCCTGAGTCAAAAATCTGGACCTGCATAAAACGACTAAATGGTGTTCCAGGTGCGAGGTCAAAAAATATGTCATCATTGACAGAAAATGACAAAGAAATAACTCGGGAGGATGAAAAGGTGGATGTTTTTGGACGCTACTTTCAATCTTTAGGAATGAGAGAAGATAGGGTAAATGAACAGTATTTAGCTTTAGTAAAGAATAGCATGAATATTCAGGAGAGTGTTATCAATGAACCCTTTTTACTCATTGAATTAGAAAAGGCAGTACAGTCAAAAAAGCGGACTGCCCCTGGTCAAGATAACATTCCTTATGAGGTGTATGAAAACTTTCCTAAAGAAACTAAAAAGGTTATGTTAGATATAATAAACAGGATTTGGGGAACAGGGGAAATACCCCTCCCACTGAAGCACTCTATTTTGATACCAATTTTGAAACCTGGAAAAGATCCCCGGAAAGCGTCTTCATATAGACCCATTTCACTCACATCATGCTTCGCCAAAATAATCGAGCGTTTGATCAAAGAAAGGTTACAATGGTATGTAGAAAAACATGAGTTACTACCCAATTTTATTAGCGGGTTTAGAAAAGGGCGGAGTGCCATAGACAACATAGTTCTCCTAGAAAACGATATTCAGAAAAGTATCAATTGTAATGAACACATAATAGCTGTGTTCCTAGATATTGAGAAAGCTTATGATAAATTATGGATAAACGGACTACTATTCAAACTCGCCCAAAAAGGAATAGAAGGAAATTTGTTACAATATCTACAAAATTATTTGACAGGACGTACCTTTCAGGTAAGAATTAATAATACTGAATCAAAAACATATGATATGCATAATGGACTCCCACAAGGAAGTATTTTGAGTCCACTGCTTTTTAATTTAATGATTAGTGATATCCCTACAGATCCTTCAGTGCCCTTAGCTGTATATGCTGATGATTTTGTCATATGGGCATCAGGTAGGGATATCCTTCAAATATCAAGCAAACTTCAGGAATACCTGAATAGACTCCAGACTTGGTTTCGCAGATGGGGATTTCGGCTTTCGGCTGATAAGACAGTCCCTATATTTTTTACAAAAAGTACAATGAATCTCTCACCACCGCAAGTAGAATTAGACGGGAAAAAAGTGCCCTTTCAGAATACTCATCATTTTCTGGGGGTAACTTTTGATAAGAAATTGACCTGGAAGCCACACGTGGAAAATGTTGTAAAGAGATGTAAAAGAAAATTGAATATCCTAAGATGTTTAACGGGAACTAAATGGGGGAGCTCTTCTAAATCCCTCGTAAAGGTTTACAGGGCATTCATAAGATCTTTACTCGACTATGGATGTGAGGCCTACGATAGCGCTACTACCACCACAAAAAAGGCACTTGATTCGGTGCAATACCAGGCGCTACGGATTTGTGCGGGAGGACTACCTCTCACTTCCCTACAATCCTTACAAGTGGAAATGGGGGAATTTCCCTTGGATCTAAGGAGACAAATTGTGTCAAGTAAATATAGACAAAGTATCGAAAGATCCCCAAACCACCCATTATCACAAAACATAGGGCCATGTTGGCAATTTGATTATCTAAAGGGAAAAGACTTTCTTAGTAAACCTTTCGGGTATAGAACCCAGAGTAAAATAAAAAACTTCATGACAGAAACTGCCGTACCATCCCCATTTCCGCCATGGCTTTTTGAACCCCCACTGGTTTCGACCGAGTTGAGCTCTCGGATTTCAAAAGCCGACCATCCGAATGAACTACAGCAACAAAGCTTAAAATTGATTAATACAAAATGGTCGAACCAGTTGCATATATATACAGATGGATCTAAGTTTCCGGAGAAGGGCCAATGCTCGGCTGCTTTCTATATCCCACACTTTTCTGTACACCAATGTAAAAGATTAGCGAATTTTACCTCATCGTATAGAGCCGAGTTGGCTGCAATTGTTCTTGCCCTTCAATGGATCGAAGAAACAAACATCTATACAGGTGCAGTCATTTTTAGCGACTGCTTAAGTGCCCTCACAGCCTTGAAACATTTTAGTGACGAATCCTTTGTCACAGAAATATTTATAATAACGACCCGATTGAAATATAGAGGGATCGAAATCGCTTTGGAATGGATTCCAGGCCACTGTGGGATAGTGGGAAATGAAAAGGCAGACTTCTACGCAAAAAAAGCTCTAACTCAGGAAATTGAAATGCATAATAAATTGACTTTATTTGAAAAGACAAGTTTAATTTTGTACAGTTCAAAGTTACTTTGGCAAGAAAGGTGGAATGATACCCAATCGGCATTAAAAATCCTTCAGCCAAATGTTATCTCACAATATTCTTGTAAATTGGGAAGAAAAACTGAAACTATTCTTAGGCGACTACGCCTGGGAGTGTCTGGACTCAACCAAGACCTCTTGCGTTTGGGCATCCACTCCACAGGTTTCTGTGACAGCTGCCCAACATTAGAAACGGTCAGACATTTTTTGATAGAATGTCCAAAGTATATAATAGAAAGGGCCATGTTAATGTCAGAAGTTAATATTTCCAAGGAAGAGGACATTATGATATGTTTACGAAACAGTGACTCTCATGTACAAATGGCAATTTCTCGCTTCGTTTTTAGAACGAAGCGATTATGTAAAAAGTAAAATCAAAAAGAGATGAAAAACAGAAACCGCAATCAATTTGAGCTGAATAGAAGAGAAAATAGGTTTTTTGTGTATAACCTTATGCCTACACCTGTATTAGTGTCTTATTTGAAGTTTTGATCGTATAGACCTATATATCTTATTTAGGCCTCTTTTAATTAAAAAAAAAAATAATGATTGAAACAATTTAACATTATTTATTTGACCAATCGAAAAACATATCCTAATACATACACACAACTTTAGGGAAGTGGAGAGGAGAGAGAGAGAGAAGGATACATGAAATCTGCTGGGGAAAAGAAAAAAAGCAATTAAAACTTGCTATATCATTACTCGAAAGCATGTCACCCCCCAATGATTATAGTAGTTAAAAGTCATGCGCTATATAAATAATTTCATGAACTAACTCATATAAACTAATAAAGCCCACAAGTGTTTTGCTTATGCAGTTGTCTTTCTCCTAATAAATAAATAAACCCTCTAAACATACAGGTACACGACGCCCCCTTGTCTATGCCAGAGTGACCTAGGTTGAGTTTATCAACCGAGAAGCGTACGGCGTAACATAACTCGCTGGGCTGGTAAGAAGGCATCATAGAAAGGACAGGGCCAGCGTGAGTTGGAACTGTGTGCGGATCGTGGTTTAATTTGAAATAATTTTTTGTTTTTATTTTTTTGTAGACTATGACTAATATTATATTAAAATGAGATTGGAAAAAGAAAGAAAGAAATAATAATTTTACCAAGACATTAAAAGAAAGAGATGCGATGAAATTGGCAACAATAGTCAAATTTGACTAATAGCCATTATAATACCAAACGAACAACAACAACTTACAAAACTTTGCCTCTCAAAGTTACTGATTATATCTTAGCCACTAATAACAAGTATGGCAGGCCGAGTGTAGTTGTCGTGTTAACCCCCCTTAACCACCTGAGCAGACCCCATGAAATCGGGTCCAAGCACCAAATGTTGTCAAAATTATATTTTGTAATGAACAGAGAATGTTTCTTTAAAAATTGTGTCCATATGATTTATTGGAAAATGTGTAAAATGTTTTGTAATGTCCAGTCATAATGTCTCCCAGCAGAATATCGTGCATGAGGTAGGCCTAGATAGGTTAAAACCGACCTGAATTTGGGCTCTGTTTTGGGAGCTCTGACAGATACGGTCAGATCGACAACCTTTTTGGGAATGACCTATATGCCTATATCCAGTGGCGTCTCCAAAGGGGGGGTGTGGGGGTGCGAAACCCCCACCTGTCAGGATATTGTCGGTAAAATTGCGCTGCCGTCGGGAAAAAAGAGAAAAGAGGGAGGAAAAAAGAGAGGGGGAAAAAGAGAGGGAAAGGGAAAGAAAAAAAAAGAAAAAGAAAAGAAAGAAAGGAAAAGAAAAGAGAAGAAAGAAAGAGAAAAAAGAAAAAGAGGGAGGAGAGGTAAGAAAGGAAAAGAAAGAAAAGATAGAAGGAAAAAAAGAAGAAAAAGAGAAAAGGGAAACAAAAGAAACGGGGGATGAAAGAGAGGAGAGAGAAAGGAGGTAAGAGCCTGAGAGAGGAGGAGTGGGAGTAAAAGAGAGAGGGGGGTTGTTGGGTGTTGACGTCTCGTCGAGGGAGCAAGAAAGACACGGGTAAATATGTTGCTGTGTCGGGTCAGCCTTGTCGGTATTCTTGCTCGATCCTCGTGTACTATATCAATGCAGAATTTTGAAGTCGGTGAGATGTTTATTGTCGGTCGGCCGACAAGTTTTTTTCCCTACGAACTGTGACTTTTTATCCGCTGCGACGACTTCGAGAGTGACTACAGCTAGAATACTTGTATTTTCTCGAAGTTTCACTTTCTTATAATATCAGCTAAAGAAATCCGAGGTTTAAAATTTTCGGGGGAACTGAATTCAAACAAGGATTAAGAGTCAACAATGGTACGACGAATCGTCTTCCTTTCTCTATATTTTGGTGAAACGCCGAAGCTTCCGCGCTTCGCGCGGGAGGAGGGAAACTGAATTCAGACAAATAAGGGTTAAGAGTCGCAAACGGTACAACTAATCGTCTGCTTTCTCTAATAATTTAAGGAAATATCAAAGCTTCCGCGCTTCGCGCGTGAGGGTAAACTGAATTCAGATAAATAGGGCTTAAAGATGAAGTTGAGTCATGGTCATGCGATTGCATTGAGAAAGAAACGGTGTGGAACCGACCAGAAAAGGTTGATCATTTAGCATATAAGAATTTGTGTGTATTGCAAGGTTCTGGAATCATCAAAATGATAAGAAATTTGGCCAAGTCTTGGTAAAGTTACAAACACTGTACACAGAAAGATGTATATGGGACTACACGAACACGTGGCGTAAAAAGCCGGCCCCCCGATGTTTACGATGTTACATGCATATTTAGAATATGAAGGCATTTGAAGAGCCATGCTTTTCAGGGAACATGTCTTATCTGATGTTCTTCCACACTTGCATAATAAGAATGAGTAACGCTCACAAATTATTTTTCACCTCTTCCCAAAACTCAACCTTCTCTTCAATAAGAGTCGAAAACGGTGCAACGAATCGTCTTCTTTCTATAATAATTAAATTAAACGTCTAAGCGTTTCGCGCTTCGCGCGGGAGGGGAAAACTTCATTTAGACGAGTCGAGAACAGTACAACGAATCGTTTGCTTTCTCTCATAATTTAAGGAAACGTCAAAGCTTCCGCGCTTCGCGCGGGAGGAGGGAAACTGAATTTAGACAAATGAGGGTTAAGAGTCGCAAACGGTACAACGAATCGTCTGCTTTCTCTAATAATTTAAGGAAACGTCAAAGCTTCCGCGCTTCGCGCGAGAGGGTAAACTGACTTTAGACAAGGATTAAGAGTCGAAAACGGTACAACGAATCGTCTGCTTTCTCTAATAATCTAAGGAAACGTCAAAGCTTCCGTGCTTCGCGCTAAAGGGGGAAACTGAATTCAGACAATTAGAGCTTATTAAGAGTCGAAAACGGTAGAACGAATCGTCTACTTTCTCTAATAATTTAATGAAACGCCAAAACTTGCGCGGGAGGGGGAGAACTGAATTGAGATAAGCATTAAGAGTCGAGAACAGTACACCGAATCGTCTGCTTTTTCTCACAATTAAATCAAACGTCTAAGCTTTTCGCGCTGCGCGCGGGAAGGGGGAAACTGAATTCAGACAATTAGGGCTTATGAAGAGTCAAAAACGGTACCACGAATCGTCTTCTTTCTCTAATAATTTAATGAAACGTCCAAACTTCCGCGCTTCGCGCGGGAGGTGGAAACTTCATTCAGACAAGGATTAAGAGTCGAGCACGGTTCAACGAATCGTCTACTTTCTCTAATAATTTAATGAAACGTCAAAACTTCCGCGCTTCTCGCGGGAGGGGGAGAACTGAATTAAGATAAGGATTAAGAGTCGAGAACAGTACACCGAATCGTCTGCTCTTTCTCATAATTTGATGAAACGTCAAAGCTTCCGCGCTTTGCGTGGGAGGGGGAGAAACTGAATTCAGACAAGGATTAACAGTCGAGAACGGTACAATAAATCGTCTACTTTTCCTAATAATTTAAGGAAACGTCTAAACTTCCGCGCTTCGCGCGCTCTTTAAGTGATTCGCTTGCTCACTACCGCCCCTCCCTAAAATAAGATCCTAACTCCGCGCCTGCATTAAAATATATAGCTATGATGCTGACTAAGTTGACGAAATAATTTGTAAATTTATGTCGTCGAGGAAAATGACTATTTGCGCATACGCACGTACTATAGATAGTCCATATGAAAAACAATTTAGCCTTCGGCCCCGGGTTTATAGGGTTAAATTTGTAGATATCGGGACATTTAATTTTGTAGGTAATTGGTGGCTAGTTTTGTCGGTAATCGATGGCCTCTACACCCCCCCCCCCCCCCACTGAAAAAGGTCTAGCAACGCCCCTGTCTATATCTAAGTAACTTAAGGGGATCAAATCGTATGGATAAAATAAGGTATATCTTTTCCGGAGAGGTTCCCAGGCTAGTCAGTTCAAGGTGGTGAAGCTTATCTACGAATTCCTAGTTGGAGAACTGATCAGAATCCTCTACAGATGCGAAAGTCACTTGTATTTCTTTTCATTTCTTGTTCATCTAAATCTCATTATAAAAAAAAAATCTTACAGATTATTCAACTGTATATCTTCAGGAAGACGAATCACATTTTATCTCCATACCAAACACCTACACAGAACGATTTTATAAGGCAACCTTACTACAAACAAACGCTACGAATGGATTTCGAGTTCTGTTTCAAGATTTGTATCTCAGTAACGATGATGTTAAAGTCCTAATAGGGACAGGTAACGATCCGTCTGATATACAGTCTATCATCGCAACTATCCATGGATTCATAAACTCTGAGCCTGATGATGTCTATGTAGATACCAATGAGATGTGGTTTGCTGCTATAGGAGGGCGGCTAAACAGCATTATCCGTTTGGATGTTGGTGTTACTGCCATTGATTTGCTGAGTGAGTATAATTGCATCAATCAGACTTTACTGTTTAAAAATCCTTGCGGCTTTTAGAATAATAAATTGATTCGAGATAACAGAAGTGACAAATGAATGCGTTAATCAACCTGACTTTATTCAGATTTTGGCTTTATTGTTAGACAGTGACATTGCTAGATGTAAAATAGGACGTTTAGAGCCTGCCCGAATAGTACATTTACCACCAACTTTGACAAAGATTATCCATCAAACTTTATAAGAAGAGCGTATGCATCGCTGTAGGTTAAAAACTACGATTCCAGATGTTCCGAGACAGGAATCTCTAATAAATGAAATAGATGTCCCACCTTTTGACAAATCAACAGCCCTATTTAACGTAATTATTAAATCGTGCTCCCTTCCGTTACAAATATTACATCTATTAAAACAAAAAAGTAAATGCAATAGTCTATGTGCAAGATCAACTGTAACTAAAAATGCATCGGTTGATTGCAATTATTATTATAAAGAAGCAGAGATTAGGGTTATTATTATTGAGTGATTATAATACTTCTAAAACAAACATTGTCCTTTTTCTGTTTCAGATTTCTTTCCTTGTTCGGGATCGAACATGAACGTGTCAGTGACGTTGGTTTGCGATGGACAGTACGACTGTGACAATTATGAGGATGAATCATCATGTAGTAAGTAACATAATACCTCCTTAGTTTTGATACTGAAATTCTTTCTGACTACATTTCCGTATTCTGACACATTAAGTTCTGATGCCTAGTACCGTATACATGATATAAAATACAAGTTATATAGGCAAATTAGCAGAAATCCCAATTCGCATATACCCTAATGAGTTACCCCAGGGGTCTCTTTCATAAAAACTTGTTATTAAAAACAAATTCTAAATTTCTATGACAAACTTGCTCTCGACCAATCAAATGCCTTGATTTCTGTAGCTTATAACAGTTGTTTTTAACTTGTTATTGATAACATATTTCGTCGCTGTTTTCACGAAGTGACGGTAGTGAAAAAAAAATTGCATTCACTTTGCGTTACGATTTTCCTCACTACCGTCACTTCGTGAAAATAGGGACGATTTTATGAAACAGGGCCCAGTTACACGCATACGGAATTGTTATAATGCGGATAGGGAAATATGAAGTCATATTTCGCATTCTCTCACATTCTTTTCCACTGTCTTATGAAATCTTGAAATTCATTAATATCTTGTATTTTTACGGTGAACTTTCTCCATTATTTTTTAAATAGACTTTTTTCGTCTGACTCATGGAATTTTCTTGGATATTTGTGTCATTGGGTTATGGCTTTTGTGCTCTCGGCCTATTAGGGTTTCCCATTTTGTTCCAACGACTTTTCACAACTTGATAAGGGCCAGGGATTTGTTCTGAAAGTTTCACTCATTTCACTCACAAAAATTTACCTCTAAAAGTTACTGATTATATCTTAGCCATCAATAAAATATGTGGCAGGCTGAGTGAAGCTGTCGTGTTACCCCCCCCCCCCCCCCCCCTCCCCGCTAAACCACCTCAACAGACCCCATGAAATCGGGTCCAAGCACCATATTTTGTAATAAACAGATAATGTTTCCTATCGAAACATGTAAAATGTGTTGTAATATCCAGTCATAATGTCTCCCAATAGAATATCGTGCATGAGGTAGATGGGTTAAAACCGACCTGACTTTGGGCTCTGTTTTGGGAGCTCTGACAGATACGGGCAGGTCGACAACCTTTTGGGGAGTGACCTATATCATATCTCGTATGGATAAAATGAGGTTTATCTTTTCCGGAGAGGTTCCCAGGCTAGTCAGTGCAAGGTGGTGAAGCTTATCTACGAATTCCTAGTTTGAGAACTGATCAGAATCCTCTACAGATGCGAAAGTCACTTGTTTCTTTTTGTATTTTTTTATCATTTTAAACTCATTGCAACAAATTCTTACAGATTATTCAGCTGTATATCTTCAGGAAGGCGAATCACATTTCATCTCCATACCAACCGCCTACACAAATCGAAATTATTACGCAACCTCACTACAAACAAACGCTACGAATGCATTTCGAGTTCTGTTTCAAGATTTGTATCTCAGTAACGATGATGTTAAAGTCCTAATAGGGACAGGTAACGATCCGTCTGATATACAGTCTATCATCGCAACTATCCATGGATTCATAAACTCTGAGCCTGATGATGTCTATGTAGATACCAATGAGATGTGGTTTGCTGCTATAGGAGGGCGGCTAAACAGCATTATCCGTTTGGATGTTGGTGTTACTGCCATTGATTTGCTGAGTGAGTATAATTGCATCAATCAGACTTTACTGTTTAAAAATCCTTGCGGCTTTTTGAAACAATAAAATGACTGGAGATAACAGAAGTGACATATGAATGCTTCGATCAACCCGTCCTTAAGATGTTGGCTTTAATGTTAGACAGTAACATCGCTACAGAGGCGGATCTACGGGGAGGGGGGGGGGGGGGTAAGGGGTTTAACCTCCCTTCCCCCTTGGGCTACCAAGTGAAGATGTAATGTGCACTAACACAACGGCATTATAATAATAATAATAATAATAATAATATGTCTTGTTTACCCAGGGTAGCCTCATCAGTATTCATACTGTTCTCCCTGGAGGCCATGCAATCATATTATTACCCCGGTCATCGGATTCTGGCTTACCCGCACACAATGTATGCACATTCTCCACTCCCTGGGGAGCATTCCAGCCAGTGCATCATTTTTACAAGCGCACACTTGCTAATCTAAGCACATTAGCTTTCGCATCCTACCGGGTTATGTTAGTAGATGCCAGGAAAACATTCAAGTTTCAAGTTTCAACTTTTATTTATCTTTCTTTCATAACACACTTTACAAATATGACATGAATATAACAAGTTTACAGAATATGGCGTTACAAAAGAAAGATGAGGTGACCTTGGTTGAAAGCAAGGCTTGTGGATTTAAGGTCCCTCATGAGTGGCTTATGAATACGTCCTAAAAGAACAAAACTCGTAAGATAAGAATAAAACATACATATAAGTGCTGACAAAACTAAACTAACTAAACAACTGATAAAATATAAACATAAATAAGTATAATAAAATCTACTGACTACTAAATAATGAATATAAGAGAGAAACAGGAAAATACAACGAGCAACAGGACTGAAACACAGACAAAAACAAAAAAAGACAGAGAGGTGAATAGATGTGAGAGATGGGAGTAGAATTATGCTGACCTATATAGTAATTAATTTTCTTAAATATTGATCACAACTATAAATCTAGACGATATCGACTCAAATAGAGTAACTTCAGTTTGCGCTTAAATACATAAATACTGACTGATTGCGTTATTCTTGGTTCAAGGGAATTCCAAAACCTAGGTCCAGTGGACCCCACAGTAGTAAGGGCAAATTGCGTTCTAACAAGAGGCAAGTGATATGCTTGTGCCTGACGTGTGGAATAACTATGAACTTGGTTATTTTTCTTAAATATTCTAGCCAAGGCTACTGGCAGTAGACCTGCATTCAATTCATACATTAGAGCTCCTAGTTGTAAATGATAAATATCTTTAACTTTCAAAACACTGCTATTATAAAAAAAGAACATCTGTATGCGCAAGATAGTGAGTATTACAAACAATTCGTATTACTCTTTTCTGTACCAGTAGTAATTTATCCATTTGAGATTTGAACGAGTTGCCCCAAGCTAGCACACCATAGTGCAAATATGGCAAAATTAAAGTTCCGTACAACATACGTAAAATATTCAGTGGGAACACAGATTTCAATTGATAAATTACACCAGTATTTCTTGACAATAATTTACAAAGTTTACTAATATGGTACTTCAAATTTAAATGTTCATCAATATGCAGGCCAAGAAATTTAAATGTAGATACTCTTTCAATCTCAACACCATTGAACATTACATTTCCAGGCAATATACTCAGGGAATTACTAAAGAGCATATAATTAGTTTTTTTAAGATTTAAAGACAACTTGTTTGCATGAATCCACAAAGTCGCATTTGTCAACTCAGAGTTTACAGTCTGCAAAAGAGTTTGTGGATTTCTGTGAGAGAAAAATACACTCGAGTCGTCTGCAAATAAAATGAATGATAACATTTTTGCGGAAAGTTGAAAATCGTTAATATACACAATAAACAAAAGCGGGCCTAGAAGGGATCCCTGTGGGACCCCACAAGTGACGTCCCTCAAATCTGAATCAATTCCATTTAAAGTAACAAACTGTTTCCTATTTGTTAAGTAGCTTCTAAACCAATCTAATGCTATTCCCCTTACACCATAATGGCACAGTTTATCTATTAAAATATAATGATTTACAGTATCAAACGCTTTAGAGTAGTCTAAGAAGACACCAACTGTATGCATGCGTGCATCTAAGGCACTGGATATCTTGTCCACCAAATGTAGAATAGCATGAGTGGTAGTGTGTTTTTCACGAAAACCAAACTGAAAATTAGACAAAATGTTAGCATTCATCATAAATGTTATCGTCCGAGTATACATTAGCTTCTCAAGAATTTTAGAAAAGGTATTCAACAAAGAAATAGGACGATAATTATTCAAGATAAGGGCATCACCCTTTTTAAAAATGGGCACAACCTTTGCAATTTTCATTTTCATGGGTACAACACCAGTGGTCATTGATAGATTAAATATATGTACGAGGGGTTGTTCAATACCATCAATTACATTTTTTATCAACATCACTTACGGGGGTTCAAAATAGCATCCCCCCCCCCCCCCCAAAAAAAAAAAAAAAAAATCGCCTCGCCGCCACGTATACGCGGCTCATGGACGATGCCCCGCACCGTCATTGGGTCAACCCCCCCCCCCCTAGCAAAAAGCTAGACCCGCCCCCTGCGCTAGTTGTAAAATAGGACGTTTAGAGGCTGCCCGAATAGTAGATTTCCCATCAACTTTGACAAAGATTATCCATCAAACTTAAGAAGAGCGTATGCATCGCTGTAGTTTAAAAACTTAAATTTCAGATTTTCCGGGGCATGAATCTCTAATGAATGGGTGTCCCACCTTTTGCCAATATCAACAGCCATTTTTAACGTAACTATTAAATCGCGCTCTCTTCTACAAGTATTAAAACTATTTAAACAAAAGAATTAATGCAATAGGCTATGTGCAAGATTATTTGTAACTGATAATGCATCGGTGATTTCAATTATTATTACAAAGAAGCAGAGATTAGAGTTATTATTATTAAGAGATTATATTTATAATCAGAAATAAGTGATACTCTTATGACACACATCGTCCTTTTTCTTTTTCAGATTTCTTCCCTTGTTCGGAATCGAACAAGACCGTGTCAATGACGGTGGTTTGCGATGGACATTACGACTGTGACAATTATGAGCAGGCGCGCCGGAAGCAGTTTGGGATTGGGGGGGGGGGGGGGCAAACATTCCAGGGGGCTCACCTTCCAGGGGCAGTGACGTACTCTCTTTAAAAAAAAAAGTGAATTTTCAAAATCACGGACGTCACTCCTCTGGAAAGTGAAAATGGAGTGAAAATAGAGTGAACATTCACTCTTTTTTCTTAGAGAGCACTCTAAAATCAATCGATTTTCACTCCTAAACAAGTGATCACGGACGTCACTCCCAAGAAAGTGAAAATAGAGTGAAAATTCACTCTTTTTTTTAAAGAGAGTACTGAGCAAAAACGTTTGGAAGTGTGGGGGGGGGGGGCAGCACCACCACTCTTACACGTTACATGCAAGCCCCGCGGAACGTTTTTCAAAGTGGAGTATTAACGATCAGGTAGAGCGTAAACCCCGAAAGCTCAGGTTTTTAGGCATTAAATTACGTTCAGATAAGCATATTTAGATACCTTATTTGTGACACTGGCAGGTCACTAATTGGTGGAGTGTCCAGGGAGCAGAGCCCCCGGAATCTCAGGGGTTTTAGGTATTTAATTACGGTCAGATGAGCATCCAGGGACCGCCTTAGGGCCCTTGGTGGGGTCCAGGGGGCAGAGCCCCCGGAAGCTCAGGGGTTTTAGGTATTTAATTACGGTCAGATGAGCATCCAGGGGCCGCCTTAGGGCCCTTGGTAGGGTCCAGGGGGGCAGAGGCAACGGAAGCTCAGAGGTTTTAGGTATTTAATTATGGTCAGATGAGCATCCAGGGGCCGCCTTAGGGCCCTTGGTGGGGTCCAGGGGGCATAGCCCCGGAAGCTTTGGGGTTTTGGGTATTTAATTACGGTCAGATGAGCATCCACGGTACCGCCTAAGGGCCCTTGGTGGGGTCCAGGGGGCAAAGCCCCCGGAACCTCTGGGGTTTTAGGTATTTAATTACGGTCAGATGAGCATCCACGGGACCGCCTTAGGGCCCTTGGTGGGGTCCAGGGGGCAGAGCCCCCGGAAGCTCTGGGGTTTTAGGTATTTAATTACGGTCAAATGAGCATCCAGGGGACCGCCTTAGGGCCTTTGGTGGGGTCCAGGGGGAGAGCCCCCGGAAGCTCCGGGGTTTTAGGTATTTAATTACGGTCAGATGAGCATCCAGGGGACCGCCTTAGGGCTTTCGGTTGGGTCCAGGGGGCAGAGCCCCCAGAAGCTCGGGGGTTTTAGGTATTTAATTACGGTCAGATGAGCATATTTTGATACCTCATTTGTGACATTGGCTTGTCACTTATTTTTCTCTCTCTCTTTCTTTTTCTCTGTAACATACTTTTTCAAAAAGTTATGGGGGCTCGAGCCCCCGAGCCCAGCTTTTTTGCAGATCATGACATAAAGCCTTCTTATTTAGCATATTTTTCGCCCGACTGTAAATTTGGGAATTTCTTATTTTTCAACAAACGCATAAAAAGGTTCGACTTACCGGAAAAAAAATACCGGAAAATCATGTCATTTCACCAACAGTTGTAAATCACTGGCATCGAATAAGAAATACCCCCCCCCCCCTCCCACTCAGTACGCCAGCGTTCAGGGGCTCATGTCTTCTCACCCCTATAACAAAAAACACACACGCTTTCCCATTCTCTCACGATATGTCCACGATATGCGCGTATCGCTATTATGAAAAAACCTCCATTGATAAATGTAGGTGGCATGCGCAATGTTTAGGAAATTTAATTTCTGTTAACTTTCCTTTTCTTTGAATGGAATTTTATATGTGATTTAATTCAGGTTTTTATTATTGTTCTGTTCTTTGGGGTTTAAAATACAAACCATCTTTACTCCTTTAGTGTTTTTTTTGTTTTTTTTGGGAGGGGACGCGTTTTGGGGGGGCAAAAAATGCGTTTTGCCCCCCCCCCCCCACTTCTTTGATTGGGGGGGGGGGGGCAACTGCCAACCCTGCCCCCCCCCCCCCCCCCACTTCCGGCGCCTATGATTATGAGGATGAATCATCATGTAGTAAGTAACAGAATACCTTCTTAGTTTTGATACTGAAATTTCTTTTTGACTACATTCCCGTGTTCTGACACATTATCTTCTGATGCCTACTACCGTATACATGATATAAAATACAAGTTATATAGGCAAATTAGCAGAAATCCCAATTAGCATATCCCCTAATGAGTTAATAACCCAGGGGTCCCTGTTATGAAATTTAATGGTTAAAATTCTATGACAAATTTTAACTCATCCAGTCAAACGCCACGATCTCAGTAGCTGATAACGGTTATTGTAACCTTTTTTGTTAACAGTTTTTATGAAGCACGGCCCAGGTACACGAACACGGAATTGTTGGAATATGGATAGGGAAATATAAAGCCATATAATTCGCTTTCTCTCACATTCTTCACCACGGTTTTACGAAATTGTTAAAATCATTAGAGTCTTGCAATTTTACTGTGAATTGTCTCCACTCTTTTGAAGAGAAACTTGTTTTGTCTGTCTCGTGGACTTGTCTTGGATATTTTAGTGGCTTATGTGCTCCCGGCCTATTAGGGTATCCCATTTGGTTCCAACGACCTTTTCACAACTTTGTAGAAGCCAAAGACCTGAATAGTAAATCATTTCACTCATACAATTTTACCCTTCAAAGTTACTGACATTTTGTAAGTCATTGATAAAAAGTGCGGCAGTCTGAGTGTAGCTGTCTGGTTAACCTCGTATGGATATTATAGGGTATATCTGTGGAATATGAAGCCCTGTATATTGGTGCAGTGATAACTTGTTTCTTACCAGATGTAAAATGAGGATTATTCAACACCGGTCTACTGATGAAGATAAACCATGTTCCCTGTTTTACCAGAAATAATAGTATTGATATTAGATAAATTCTTAACGCGCCTAATTACTTAAAGTAATCTAAGAAAACTTAATGTAATTATGTAACAACGTACATGATACACCATCCTGTCCTGTTTACAGACCAGGCCTTATTTCAGCCGGGACCGGGAATCGTCCTGAAAACCAACAGGACAGTCAGTTATGTGATTTCGGGCATGCGCAAGCCGATATTTCGCTCGGCTTACCCTTCTTTTAACTTCCGTGGGCTTTGCGATCTCTTTTCCTTCCGTCTTGTTCTCTAAAGCTTCTAAATACATTGTTGGTCATAATGGTGGAATAATTATTTTTGCCCCAATTCATGGAATGATTTTGACAATGATTTATTCCTAATAGATCTAGATAATAGCATACATTCTCAGATTTTATTGAATAATAATTTGTGAGTGTTTGTTTTGCGTGACTGCTAAAGCATGTGTATGCTACTCTGCTAATCAACTACGTCATAAAGTCATAACTGACAGTAATGAGAACTAATGCCTCATAAAAGGGCACTAATATAGCACATCGACACGGTTTTGATCCTGAGGGCTCACAGTAACGAGGCCATTGCTTAGCCACTGAATCATGATTGTACGCAGCGGGAGCTAGGGTATGTCCCCGCCCCCACAATTACAAAAAACAAAGAAAATGCAATAGTTATAAATAATTCATTGCATTTTGCTCCGACCCCTAACATAAAATAATCCTATATGTGGGCATGCCTTGAACCATAATGCATGGCCTTACAGAGGAATTTTTCCTGTCGGGGACCGGGGAAAATGCAACAAATTATTGATAATTTATTGTTTTTTCTTTGTTTTGTTTTTTTATTTGTGGGGGCGGCGAAGTACCCTAGCCCCCGCTGCGTAAAGTCATGATTCAGTGGCTAAGCAATTGCCTCGTTACTGTGAGCCCCCGGGATCAAAACCATGTCGATGTGCTATATTAGTGCCCTTTTATGAGGCATTAATCCTCATTTCTGTCATTTATGACTTAAGGACGTAGGTCCCCTAGTTGATTAGCATAGTAGCATACACATGCTTTAGCAGTCACACAAAACAAACACTCACAAATTATTAAATATTCAATAAAATCTGAGAATGTATACTATTATCTAGATCTATCGGGAATAAATCATTGTCAAAAACATTCCATAAATTGTGGTAAAAATAATTATTCCACCATTATGACCAACAGTGTACATCGGGCCCCAACGTCCCTTTCCTTCTAATCAGTATTGTCGGGGGAAGTGTGTCCGGACGCTTAACAAAAATAAAGCCCTCGCTTTTGCCTTAGTATTTAACGAAAAGCAAGCATCAATTTTATTTACACATTCATTCATAAATCATGTTGACCTTATCTTTATATCTTATTTTATGCCAAAGTGGAGAGCCTCTAGACATAATTTTTAAATTCTTTTAGGTGATTCTCAGGCATAATTGGCTGGTGCTAATATCATTATGTTCATGTTATATCATTTTGTCAACCTTGTGATGTTTTGTATGTTATCATCTTGCCTGGAAATATAATAAATGAATAAATCAATCAATCAAATAGAAACCATCATGATTATTTGTCTTTCAAAATATTGGTTTTACATTTTGTATAAGATATTGCATGTAAACTTCTTTAAATCACCGATTTAGGTCAACTGTCCAGATACACAACCTGTCCAGACACAGAACGGGTATAAGTTATTTACAACCTGCTAAATTGAATTGTATACTCAATCTTCATTATTTTATATGCGTTATAAGATAATTGACTTCATTATTTCCCATTCACTGTCTGTCTAACGGATATATTTTTGCTGGTTTGAAAAGGAAAATGTATTTATTTATTAATATGAAGTAGTCATAACAATTTCGACAGCTAAATTCTTACTAAACAACCACTGCCCTCGATAAAAGAGAGGTATCAAAAAAGAGGGAAAGCCAACCTACTTTTTAATTTGACAATCTTTAGAACGGAGTTACCTGTTATTAGAACAATGCATGTACATGTGCTGCGGGTTTTAACGGAGCTTGTGTAGTACATGCAGGTATGAAAATATATTGTAACATATGTAAAGTGCTATCGGGATTCCTCGTATTCGTCAAGCAATGTTTTGGTAAATAAGGGGGAAAAGTCAACCGCTACCTACTTTCTAGTTTGACAATCTTTAGTACACCATTCTTAAATTTCAAGCTTTTGGAAAGGTTTTGTCGAGGAATATTAATGTAAAGCTTCGTCATGAATGTAAGAACATTTTCTCTCCTCTCTTTAGTTGACTGTTCTGGTGCCAACCCATGTCTGAACGGAGGTACCTGTGAGAGCGATACATGTACATGTGCTGCGAGATATACAGGAGCTTTGTGCGGTGACACGAGTAAGATCTTTTAAGCTTTTCCTGGTACTGCTTTAAATCCATTTACCCCTATTTTAATGTCTGCTCGTATTAGAGTGTTGCAAAAAAAATTGTCAATAATTTTTGTTCACTAAAGAAAGTAATTGCATATTCAAGGCGGGGATCGAGCAGCACCTTGTGGCTATCATCTTTCTCATTCACGCAGATAATTAGGTTAAATAAAGCTTTATTAATTTAAGTTATTCTTGGAAATGTCTGACCAGTGGTTTACTTTATTCCCATTCATCCTTTCCCTTCAACTTTTATGGGCATAAGGCTTCCTTTTCAGGGGTCATCACAAGGGCTCTGACTTACTACGACTATGACGTTTGACCGGTGCTTACTTTACATTGTTCACTCTGAAATTCTTTACCGGGAAGTTTTCTTCTTTCATCCAATGAAAGTTAGCATTGTTTTGGTATGTCATATCTCTTCAGAAGACATTTGTTATAAGCCACATACAAAATCACATTATTTGGGATTTAAAATATGCGATTATCCTACTAACAAAGAACATATAAATGTTTATGGCATATGTAATACGTGATAATTATAAACCTGAATACAAACAATTACATCATCTCTCATCTTTAGAGTTTTAATAACGGCTCCTATTGCTATTACTCCTGCCCCGCTTTTAAAAAAAAACGAGGTAAAGTAGGTCATGGACACCACCTCTGAATTTTTATAATTTCATAATACAAATTCCAATCTTTTATTCTTAATGTACAGCAAATAGTCACTTGTTATTTTCCTTCAAATGTGCAAGTTTCATTTGGTATAATTTTCTCCACTTTGTAGTTGACTGTTCTGGTATCAACCCATGTCAGAACGGAGGTACCTGTGAGAGCAATGCATGTACATGTGCTGCGGGATTTAATGGATCTTTGTGTGAAAGAGGTATGAAAATACTTCATTATAATGTGTATATTCAATGGTATCTCATGCAAAAAAGTAGGATCTTTATTTTACTTAATAAATGTTCTGCTAATCTCCTGTCGTGAATCTTTTAATACAGCATAAGGATCAGGTAGTAAATTTGGGGTGCTCTTGATGATAATGAGCTAATATATAGTGAGAAGAAAGAAGAGTCCACAAGTGAACCTATATCATGACCAATTGAGACTTGGTGATATTAATATCATATTTCATATCATGTCCTAGACTTTAAGGGTAAATACATTGGCCCCAACGTCTCTTCCTATGTTATCAGTAAGTTTCCTACAGCCGGCTAAATAGTAATCGGAAATGAAATACGTTATTAGACATTTGACAAAATTATTACCCATTGATTTTCTGTCTAACGGATATATTTTTGAAGGTGGAAAAGGGAAAGTAATTAATTTCACAACTATTTGAATACATTATGTTTCAAGGTCCAAAAAAGAACAGTATTCGTTTTTTAATATTAACTTGACTGTTGTAGTGTTTATTATCACGGAGTATTATCCATGTAACTTTGGAAGTCTTAACAATTTCGACGTCATCATTCTAACTTACAACCGCTGCCCTCGAAAAAATGAGACATTTACAGATTGGGGAACTCTTACCTACTTTGTGATTTGGTAATCTTTGATATACCATTCTTAAATTGTGTGTACATCACCTAAAATTATTTTGGTATTTCACTTTCATCATTCATACATTTCCACGTGAACTGTGAATGACAAAATTCGTCGTGAATTTAAGGATATTTTCTCTCCTCTCTGTAGTTGACTGTTCTGGTAGCAACCCATGTCGGAACGGAGGTACCTGTGAGAACAATGCTTGTACATGTGCTGCTGGATTTAATGGTGTATTGTGTAGTACAGGTATGGAAATATATTGTAGCATACGTTAAAGGAAACCTCACCCCAAGGAATAACTTTAGTTATTCTGTGAGATTTTTTTATATTATTGCCCATTAATCTGTATGTAACATATGCTAAGTGCTATCGGGATTCATTGCATACGTCAAATAATATTTTGGTTTAAAAGAAATTAATGGTTAATAATTAATTGGTAGTCATAACAATTTTGACGTCAGCATTCGAACTTTATACAACAGCTGCCCTCGAAAAAAAGAGACATAAAAAGATTGGGGAAAACCTACCTACTTTGTGATTTGACAATCTTTGATATACCATTCTTACAATGTGTGTACATCACCTAATATTATTTTGATATATCACTTTCATCATCCATACATTTTCACGTGAACTGTGAATGTAAAGATTCGTCATGAATTTAAGGATATTTTCTCTCCTCTATGCAGTTGACTGTTCTGGTAGCAACCCATGTCGGAACGGAGGTACCTGTGAGAACAATGCTTGTACATGTGCTGCGGGTTTTAACGGTGTATTGTGTAGTACAGGTATGGACATCTTGTGTAACATTTGCTACGTGTATCGGGATTTATCGTATACGTCTAATAATATGTTGGTTTACAAGAAACTAATTGTTACTTAGGCCCTATTATAAAATGATTCATGCCGTGATACCATCATATCGTGTCTTGATTTAAAAAAATAATTTTTACATTATCATTAAAACATTCAATCTCCAATCTCCCCCCCCTCCCCCCCCCCCCCCCTCCCACCCCCCAAAATAGTTGCACATGAATAAACATGGTGGGAAATCCGACGTACTTTGTAATTTGACACTCTTGAATGCATCATTCTTGAATTGTGTGTTCATAACCTAATATTATGTTGATGTGTTATTTTTGTATTTCCACGTGAACAGTGAATAACAAATATTCGTCATGACTGTAAGGATATTTTCTATATTCTCTGTAGTTGACTGTACTGGAAGCAACCCATGTCAGAACGGAGGTACCTGTGATAATAATGCTTGTACATGTGCTGCGGGATTTACTGGAGCTTTGTGTAGTACAGGTATGGAAATAAATTGTTACGTATGAAGAGTGCTATACGGATTCATCGTATTCGCCAAGCAATGAATTGGTTTAAAGGGAATGAATGGTGACATAATGATAAAAAGATTAATGCAATGTTATGTTATGCTCATATCGTTACTTTAACATCTCAATACATTTGCAGATCATCTTTAATCCCCCCCCCCCACCAGAAATGAAATTTCGATAAATAAGGGGAAAAGGTTTACCTACTTTTTAAATTTAAGAACCCTCTAGTACACCAATCTTACATTCCAAACTTTTGGAACGGTTCCGTCGAGAATAGTGAATGTGAAGATTACTCATGAATGTAAGGATATTTTCTCTCCTCTGTACACTAGAAGCAACCCATGTCAGAACGGAGGTACCTGTGAGAACAATGCATGTACATGTGCTGCGGCATTTACTGGAGCTTTGTGTAGTACATGTATGGACATCTTTTGTAACATGTGCTAAGTGCTATCGGGATTCATCGTATACGTCAAATAATATTTTGGCTTAAAAGAAATTAATGGTTACATAATGATAACAATATTTATGTCATGATACTGTCATATCGTGCCTTGGACATTGTTATATTTACTTTGACATCATCATTATAACATTCACCCCCCCCCCCCCCCCCCTCCCTCAAAAAGTGGTATAAAAAAGATAGGGGGATTCCTACGTACTTTGTAATTTGACATTTTTTTTTATTGCATCATTCTTAAATTGTGTTTTCATCACATAATATTATTATGATATGTTATTCTTGTCATTCATGTATTTCCTCGTGAACGGTGAATGTAATGATTTGTCATGAATTTAAGGATATCTTCTCTTTACTGTGCAGTTGACTGTTCTGGTAGCAACCCATGTCAGAACGGAGGTACCTGTGAGAACAATGCATGTACATGTGCTGCGGGATTTAATGGTGTATTGTGTAGTACAGGTATGGAAATATATTGTAACATACGTTAAAGGAAACCTCACCCAAAGGAATAACTTTAGTTATTCTGGGAGATTTAAAACATTATTGCACATTAATCGTATGAGAGACGTTTAAAGCAAGAATATAGACTCCAGTTTCTCAGCGCTACATGGGCAATGCCATTTTCTTGGTAAAGTGACGGAGTATAAGAAGTCGTTTATCGAGTAAATTTATGGATGCTTCTTTTCCAGGTGTTAGTGGTGATGAATCATTTTATTCACCTGGTATTATCCTTTGTGCCAATACGCAAAGTGCATAAATAAGTTAGTGTCTTTCTGCGGTAAAGGTTTCGCATAAATGAAATATATATCAAATTCTATATTTAGTATTTTCAAATAAATGACTAACAATTGTCCCCCTGTTATATAATTTTCACTAAAAATATAATGTTTACATTCTCGGCTATGAATTTTCCTCATTTAAAAGCGAAAGTTTTGTTTTTGAATTGATATGTTTGAAATTGAAATTTTTACAACTAAAGTTTGGTGCATGATATAGGTCCTATGTACAAGTTCGCCTTGTACATCATATTATCAAGAACATGCATGCGCCCATGTCATGCTAAAAGGCATTAATCATAATAATAATCTGATTTCATATAGCGCTTAATACGGAATATCGTCTCTAAGCGCTTTACAGATATTATTACCCAAGTCGTCGAATTCATTCACTCACATTGTGCACCATCTCCACTCTCTTAGTAGTATTCCTACCATAAAGATACCGTGAGGGCATAGGCAATTACTAATACAAATGATTTCGTCATCCTATCGGGTCCCCTGGTGCTGGTAGAATTCTCACAAATGGGCAAGATTAGAATACCAGATCCTCCAGCACAGGACGATGGATAGTAGAACACTTCTCGATCATGGCAATACCTAAAACAGGCTTTAATGTTAGCATTGTGTTTTAAAGGTGATTCTCCCCCCCCCCCCTTTTTTTTTCTTTTTTTTTTTACTTTAAAAACAAATCTAATATCCAAATTGTTTTCAATTCTTTTAATTGTTGTTAAAAGAAATATGGACTGAAAACTTTGCTGAAGACCATGAAATCTTTAATTTGTATATACATTGTAACAAGTAACATTTCTGGCATCAACTCATAACAAGAAAAGAAAAGGATAGCAACCCTTATGGCGAAAAACATCTGCTGCCTCTATGCAGACACAAAAACAATCAAATAACTAGAGATAAAATTATTAATAGCACTAGGAATACAACTGCCACAGAATATTTACCCTTCTCACTAGAAAAACTGTAGTGAAAATCAACTCAAATCATTCCTCGCTTTCACTTTCTCTCATATGCTGAAACAGCCAAATCAACTTTAAAATATTTGTGTTTAGATAACACATTTAATTTAATTCAGTTTAGCTTGGTTTAGTTTGAATAAGTTTAGATAACATAAATTTATTTTAAAGTATGTCAAGTATAGTTTAATTTTAAATATGTAGTCTGATGTAAAATACTAGGTTGGCACAGCGCGAAACATGTGTTGGTTATTTTCGCTAATTGCAACAGGCGTTTATTTATCGACTTACATCTAGCACGAAGTGAGCATTGACTAGTCCATATTGAAACCAGGACTAGACCAATAACTGTAACTTAGCCCAAATTAACCAAAGACTCAAGATATTAAGCCTCAAAGACTGTACAAGATGTACAAGTACTACAAACAGCAAATGTCGAGCACAAAACAACATGAAATCGATCCAAGAGATCACACTACCAAACGTTGAATAGACACAATATTGATCCACAGAAGCAACGACGACATCTAGATCAGACGAAATGAGACCAGAGTCTCAGATTCAAAAACCTAACCCAACAAGGCGTAAAAACTCATTAGCAAGATTATAGTTACAAAACGGTGAACGCAAATATTGTTCATTAATTTAGCATATTTTCTCTCCTCTCTGTAGTTGACTGTTCTGGTAGCAACCCATGTCTGAACGGAGGTACCTGTGAGAACAATGCATGTACATGTGCTTCGGGATTTACTGGACCTTTTTGTGGTACAGATATGGACATATATTGTAACATACGTTAAGTGCTATCGGGATTCTTCGTATAGTCAAATAATATGTAGATTTAAAGGAAAGCAATGGTTACTTAATAATAAAATAACTTTTGACAAAAATGAACCCTTGGAAAGTATAATGATCTTAGTCTTTTTCGCCGCGACTAACATTGGGAACTCCCAAACTGTTGTTAATGGTTGATTTTTTTTGCATATTCTCCTTCTTTGAGATTACCCCCTTCATCTCTTAACAGTAAATAAATCATAACAATATGTCTAAACAATGGTGCCCAGGAAACTGAGGAATAAATCTGCACACATTCATTCGTAAGTTCTATGCTACTACAATTTTACTAAAACTAACTTTTGACAGTAACTCTGATCCTTGCTCCCAACGAAACCCGTGCGTCAATGGTGTCTGTCGCCACATTGGACAAGAACAGTACGAGTGTGAATGCCAAGATCATTATGAGGGGATCCATTGTGATGAGCCAACCCGTAAGTCATATGGTTGGATTTACTTATATCTTTGAAATGTTATAATACGTTGTGCACATCCATGCTTCACATCGTTTCGTAAAACTGCTGAATAGTAACTACAATTTGGAAAGTGATTTGATTCAATGTTTTTACCCCCAGAAATGATGAAACACCTTTCCATTTCTGGATAATAAATCAAATGTCTTTTCAGTTGTGGAAAATAGAAACATATTAGGAATTTATTCCTTGAATGCTTTCAGGGCCTTGTAGCAAGTGTAGGGCTCATAACACTATTTCGTCGGTACATTCCCTGGGTATTTACATATATTTAAATGTACCTGTTATTATTATTTTTTAATAAATATTATCATTATTATTATAATGAGTAGTAGTAGTAGTAGTATATGGGTATTAGTATTATTTCTATCAATATTATCAATGTTATTATTATCATTATTATTATTACTATTATTGTTATCATAAAAATTTGTATTGCTTTGTTGTTGTTTTTTGTGTTTTTTTTTTTTTTATTACTCCTCTTCTCCTTCTTCCTCTTCTCCTCATTATTATTTTTGTTATTATTACTATTATTTTTATCATTTCTATTTATGTAATTGTCATCACCTCCATTATCATTTTCATCACCATTATTGATAATGAAATGACCTCATTCGCCGTGGTATGTTCTAATTCCTACTTGGAATACAGTTCCTTTGGAGGTTTCTGTCCATCCGTCAAGCCAGATAGTCAACATCAATGCCAATGTGGAGCTGACATGTAGTTTCAACAATGCCAAGCGATACCACTGGTACAAAGATGATGTCCTTTTGCCCAACAGTGAAAATCAGAATTCTTTGATAATCCAGTCTGTCGGTCCCAGTGACATCGGATATTACTTCTGTCGAGGTTCAGGGAGAAGTGGAGAAACTTTGGACACAATGCGAGCGTCTGTCTATGTCAAAGGTAAAAAACTTTACATGAGGCTAACCACAGAAAATAACAAATTCTTCTTCTTCTTGATTTGATTTTGTTTGGCAATCAGTCACAGTTGACTTTTTTGCCACACACTATTTTATGAATTATTTATATACCGGTATATACATATGTACAATTTCATGTCTTAAATGACTATTTTTAGGATTCTTTCTCTTTCTATTCCCTTTCCTTCTGCTTATGTTCTTTTAGACCCTATATTCAGGGTTGTGTTTAGGATTGTGTGTAGCCTTTCATCAAGACGACCTATGTACTCTAGCAAGCTTTTATATCTGCCCTCGAAACGTGGGGAATACCCTTGTGATTGCGAGAAGCTTCATGCGGGCGGCATTGAGCTAGCAGGCCTACGATAGTAAAGACTGACAAATCCTCAGTAGTAAACAAAAGTATTGTGGGCCTGTGTATTTTTTTCTTTGTCCCTAAACTTTGCAAATAATGAATGTATCATTAATTCGAAACTCGTTTATATTGATTTTATTTCAGATCAACGTAAACAGCATTTGTCTTCATAAAACTTCAGTTGAAACAACCACCAAAATATGATTCTAGGACAATTACCCCCTGCATGGACAATCTCCCCCGACCAATTACCAGCGTGACAATTACCCCCCCCCGGACAATTCCCCCCGGAAAATTACCCCTAAGGACAATTAGTCCCCCCCCCCCCGAAAAATTCTGCTTTTATTAAAAACTAACTTATTATCAGGGTAGACTTTCCCTTCAATGAACAGGGAGGGGGGTTATTTTCGGATGGGGGAGGGGGGCACCAAAAATTATGTAGCAAGCTACAGAAAACACATCAGGATTTTGCTGCTCTTTTTTAAACCTAAAACATGCTCCAACGAGGCTCCCCTCACCCCCCCCCCCCCCCCCCCTCAGTCGTCGGTCATTTCCTTGCTAATTACCATCCTATCACCTGATCACCCTCCCCTCTGCTTCGGCCCGTGGGATGTTGTGTCACCCTGTGCCGTCCCCTTAATCTGCCACTGATTCTTGTTATATATGTTTGCATTTTCAGATCTGACCAATATACAAGTTTTGAATGCTAAATTTGCCATTACATTCCGAGACGAGCTTCATGACAAAACTTCTGAACTCTATAAAGAAACAGCGTTCAACATCAGCATCTTTGTAAGTATATCCTAAAATTAATTGGTGTATATCTATAATGCCTGCCCCATTCTTTTGATTTTCTGCAAGGCAAGGCCTAATATTGTTTTGGGGTTAAAATATACAGTTGAATTTCTAGAATGCGATTACATTGAGAAACAACTTTCCTATTAGCAATTGGGGAAAAACTGATAGCACATGCATTTAGCATGAACATTTTCAGCTTTGTCCATCATTGTCTCACCTTCCGAAGGTGGTGACTAGACTTAGGGATCTGAAAAGCATTCTCCCTCCGTCGACGGTCACATATTTTAAAGTTTATCTGCAAAATTAGGCTCTCTCAGGACAAATAACCCGATAAGCAAATGCTTTTGTGAACAAACTTGAGAAAGATATGCACTTGGGAAACCTTCTCATGTGCTGTCGAGGGTCACATTATAAGGTCAAAGCTAATTATTCTGTGAGCTCTCTTGTGACAAATAACTTTGCAACTGTTTATTCTATTATGTCCAAACTTACTTAAGATTATTTTCGGTTAAGCTATAAGTTTTAACCCACAATAATCATGTACGATTTATAACTTTAAATACGTTGTTTGTAGGTGCACGATTGAGTCAGTGATGCTCTTTAACGAGATTCATGTAATTTGGTCAGAGATGCCAGAGACACATCTGGCTTTCGCCTTATATTTCGAATATGAGGGCTTTTAAACCATGAGAACCATTATTTTCAGGGGACACTTTTTTCTATGACATTCTTCCATTATGTCCAAACTGAGACAACAGAATGATTAAGCTCAACAATTACTTGTCACCTTTACTAGTACTCAACTTTCTCTTTCATGATTGTAAAACTTCATAATAAACATGTAGTTAAATCCCAGCAAAAGCTATCCAAAATTTCGAACGGTCATCTCAGTTCTTTCACAGCACCGCTTCATACTTCAACTGAGACTGTCCAAACTGAGACAACAGAATGATTAAGCTCAACAATTACTTGTCACCTTTACTAGTACTCAACTTTCTCTTTCATGATTGTAAAACTTCATAATAAACATGTAGTTAAATCCCAGCAAAAGCTATCCAAAATTTCGAACGGTCATCTCAGTTCTTTCACAGCACCGCTTCATACTTATGGTACAGATACAATTCAGTACTTTCATTTTTTTCAAAATACAGTTCTTCCACAAGTATAGCTTATGAATAAAGTATAAACAAAATATTGCATGCGGAGGGTTTTCGGTTATGACGTATACTTTAAGAAGTTACAAAAGAGTATTAGTCTTAGATAGGGAATTAGCTATTAAATATTTTATCTTTTCTGTTTGTTTATTTGTACCTGTGTAAAGATGGCTCAAGGCCTCCGAACCAGCACTGGGTTGGAGGGCGTAACAGTAGTATGCAGAGCCCTGAGACCAGGAAGCGTCAAAGCTGACATGAATATCTACATCGAGCAGACCAATATGACGGCACTGGAGACACAAGATCTTATCGGTCTATCTCTTGAGAGTCTAGCCAATGAATCGAATGGTTTTCTCGATTCCAACACCATTTCAGTTCAAGATATCGGTACCAATTTCATTCATATACATATAGTTCTAACAGTCAATGTATAATATTCAGCATTGTGTATAAAGACGTGGGGTATCCATAAAGAGATGGCGGATAGTATAGGGGACGCGAAAAAACAGAGTTCATAGCGTATTTTGTCCCGCCCTTATGTTATTACTCTTTGCAAGTATTTATTTTACATGGGCTTTCAAAGAGGAGGGATAGGGCTATGCTGGACACGCCACCCAACAGGACGTGTGGCATTCCTACGTTAGGTAATTCGAAACGCAAGAGGTGTACACACACAAACACACACACGCACGCACACATAGACGTAGGTATGTATTACTTATACATGTATATATATATATATATATATATATATATATATATATATACACATACTTATGTGCGTGCGTGTTTGTGTGCGTATGTGCAAACGGATCATTCAAAGTTTTTGCGGCCTTCTGGTCCTTCATTTGATTAAGTACTCCTTAATTTGCCTTCTTGTTTATAGTTATCAAATTCGTTGCATTGTACGGAAGCTTTAACGTTCAGAGAGAAGGCGACTTGTTTAACTTGCCAAGGCGCCTCGCTAGGGCCAAGCAGGCGAGAAAGCGAGTTGTTCAAGTCGCCAAGTCTCCATGCCTAAGACGAGAATGTGAAAAGGCAACTAGATAATACTTACCAAGGCGTCTTGTAAAGGCCGCGAAAACATGAAGGCGAGTTGCTAAAAATTAGCTAAGGCGCCTTGTTTAAGTTGAGAAAAGAATAAGAGAAGGCGGCAAGTCTTAATCATTGCGCCTTCGCGAGTTAAACAAGTCGCCTTCTCGCTGCATGTTTAAGCATCCTTAACATAACATTAGGCACCTCTTGGAGAAAGCAATCCTTTTATTGTAGACAAACATTGAATTGAATTTCGTTCAAACGTTTTCTCTTTAAAATGCTTTTTTTATTCTTTCGTTTTATGAAGCTATTTGCCAGAATATCTCATGGATTTCTCCTCGGTTTGAAAAAGTCGAATTTCCGGTGGGTGAAAACGGAACATGGGCAAATTCAACTGGAATGTGTCCATTCAACACTACTCAAGGTTGGTTTTCATTGTCATTCATATATTTTAATTCCAGAAAGTAAACAAAGGATTAGGTTAAATAGCACGACTAATATCATAATTTTCCTAAAGGTTGTTTAGATGTGGCAAACCGCCGCAAAAAAGCTACCGCGGTTTCTGTTTTTAAACGTGTGAATGAATGGTAACCGCGCGCCGCAAATGCCTTAGGCATAGTAACTTATCTCTGTGTCAAAAGATAACGCGTATTACTCTTTACGTCATGATTTTTACCGCGTAATATGTGAACAGGTCTAAAGGCTTGCAAAAGTAGCTGGAGTTTGTGAACGGTGTTGATTGTTAAAGCTATGACGCGAATTCAATTAAAACTGTAATGACTGTCGAATGGAAAACGACTCATTTACCTGCAATAATATTTCCCAAAATAGCCTTGGTGTCATGATGTCCGACCGATAAAGTTGTTTTCACTTCATGATTGAACACTAGCGAATCAAGATGGGGGCTTGGAGGCTCAAAGCTTCTCCCTATAAATAGTCAAGCCCCAAATTGTTTCTTGAATAAAACTGAATTTATGCGAGGCACACGTAAAAATGGAATACAGGAACCCCAAGCACCCAACCCTCCGACCCAATTCATATTCTAGATCCCCGCATGTTGTTGTATGTGTTGAATAGTTCCAGAGTCATGAATTACTTGAGAGAATCTCATTCATAGACAGTACTTCTTGATACGTTTCTTAATATATGGTAATAATTGTTTGCCAGTGTTTTTACGATGTATATAATATATGTATATATTTTGTTTAACACCTAACAGCCAATGAACCCATTGGACGGGCTCTGTGTATCGGCGATGGTATTACCCAGAGCCACTGGCAACCCGTGGATAATTGCGGACCATTTAGAAATGTCACAGATATTCTCACCGAAATTGCAGAGGTTTTTACCATTTTTCTTTTCAAAATTATGATTATTGAAAAAAGGCGGTTTTTTAATTCTTGATATAGCATGTAACGCAATTGTGATTACTATGTTGTAGGTACCACTTATCTTTACAACCTGAACAAAGTTTGATAATTTTCTTTTATATAAAATAAAATGATTTCACCCAATTTGGTATATTATTTTACCCGATATTGTGTACAATGAATACCCACTCTTGTTCTGTTCTTAATAACATTTTTGAGTGTACCCCTACTCTTCATTTGTAAACTATCAAATCATGCCTAATAGGTAATTAATAGCCCACGGTCCATCACTATTACTGATTGTTTTAATGTCATTCCATTCACAAATGTATTGGACGATTTTTAGTGTAATAAAGATGGTTTACTGATAATAAACCTAAAGTGTATCATTGCAATATTATAAGTGAAATATGTTCGCAACTTTTTTATTACCTTAATGAGTCGATCACCTAAAATGTATATGCTGTAACTTTTGTAAAACATTTTCCCTCAAATTGTAGGTAATCGTAAATGAGGAAAACGCAGGTGAAGTGAGCCAACAGGTATCATCTGTTACTTCCAACATCGAAGATATCACATCAGATGACATCACTTTTGTGGCAGAGATAACATCAAACATTGTGCAACAAAATCTTACAAGTGAAGAGGTATTCTTCAAAATGCCAAACTAATCCTATTGAACATGAAGTTAAGATGGATGGTGAATTGTATTATGTTCCAATGATTATCTAGAAAGGGAAAAATATTGGAGTCTTCCGTGCGATACATGTAAAAAAAATCATAGATGTGAAAGAGGTAAATCCCATAACCGGTTTTAACAATATTGGAAACCTTGAAGCTAATATGAATGAAGAATTTACTAGAGGCTAACCCTGTTTCTGACTCTCTTTTTAACTTTTGGTCTGTCACTGTCCTTTTATATCTTTCTGACCCCTTGGCGGTTGCTCCTTCCAGAGGTTGTGTAATAGCTTTTAAAAAAACAGCTGTGTGTTAAGACTGTCATGTAATAAACTATCGTCATTCAGTTTGATTTCCGACATTTGGCAACTTTCCCCTACAATCAGTTTAAATATTTGTTTATCTTTTGTGTTTAATTTGACAGGTAACAGAGTTTATAACGAGTATTGCGAGCAATATAGCTCAGGTAGAAACAGAGGAACTTGAAGCCGCTGAAGAAGGTGGGGCAATAAGTAAATTTGTCCAGGCTTTTGAGGAACAAATCAGTCGTGTGGAGGTTGCCGATGGTGGGATGCTCAACATTCAGCAGCCAAATGTAGCCGTACAGGTGATTTTAATGTTATATTATATTGGCTTTGAACAATTAATTTGATTTTAACCAGGACTGTAGAATCATATCCAAGTTTATGTCAAAAGTTATGCAATTGTTTGCATGTAGTTTCAAGAACAGCAAAAACAAAAACAATAAAATCGACACTGCCATTCATCCATTTGTGGTCTTGTTCAACCCAACAAGGTGCAACACTCCCACCATTTTTCTTTATAGTTTGTGCTTTTATGTTGCGGGATACATCACATTTTTTTAAAATTTGGGGGTGCCTTACTTTAATGCACCTGCACGTGCATGGTGCTAATCGCCTCTTTTTCGACCTATACTCATTAATAATAATTATTATGTTTTAATAACAAATAATTAAAACAATACTACATATACATAATATTGATAATACAAATAATAATAATTATAATATTGATTAGAATGATGATACTACTACTAATAGTAAAAGTAATGATTATGCATGATGCTGATAATGATAATAATATAAGATTTGCAAGGCGCCAAACCCACTTGAAATAAAGTAATGAAGGTGGACTATTGCAAAGGATAAATCATTTTAAAGCATCTGCATTATACCCAGAAAACTTCAGAAGATTGATCATACTTAAGTGAGAGGGAACAATTAATTATATTCCAATTCAAATAGAAACGTATTAAGATAGCGAATCCATAGCGAAGGTTTCCTCCCCCACCTTCGATTTATAGATAGTAATTGTTACAATACTATTGATTACAATAAAAATGATAATGATAATAACAATGATTATAATGATGATGATGATGATTTGTGGGGTGCCAAATCCACTTTATATCGCGCAAGGCGCACTTGTGCAAAGAGGAAATGTTTTTGTCTAGATTATTTATGAACACCTCAACTAACCTGCTTTTACTAGTCTTTCGAGGCATTCCACAGAGAAGACCCTGCCTGAGGTTCCCTTCGCCTACTTATATTTAGCTGGAAGAACAAGTAATCTAGGTTTTGGGAGCGTAAAGATCTCGAGGGATTAATAGTGCTGTAAGGAATAGCTATGGTCAATTCGAAATGAAAGCAAATCAAATATTGAAGTTTTAATTCACATAACAGGTCCAGAGTGTACCTGCTGACAACGTAATGCGTGGTATCGTGCTTTCGCTAGTTGGATCCAGTCTTTCAGACCTGACCAAATCCAATATTACCATAAGTGCTCCGACCCAAGATGACCGCGATGACGTAATAGCTACCAGATCAGACATCATCGCTCAGGTCAACATTCCACCTTCAGTTTCATCCGTCATTTCGTCCACGGCCCCACGCTCACGATCGCCGTCGAATGACAGTGGTGAATACATCCGGATCAACTTCAATGTATTTTCAAGTCCAGCCCTGTTCATTTCTAAGTCATTGCGCAAAATAAGTGCAGATAATGAAGGCTTCAATCGATCGGCTAACTCGCCCGTGATTTCTCTCAGTATTGGTGAAGGGAAAGTAGCAGCCTTGACCGAATCCATCAATTTTACCTTCACTACAATAGAGGTAAGAACTATAACAAATGGCAGGATAGCATTTTTTTCATTTATTATACGTATTTGTAATCTGCCTTTAGCAGTATTTATTGATAATTAAATTCGTAGACATACACATTTTGGTGAAAATTGCAAATAACATGTATTTCAAGCCATTTTTTTTTTCTTTTTAACTCCTTTGTTTGATTCCCCTCATAGTTGGGCTTTTAAAATATACCAATCGAAATTGTTGATCATTCTTCTGTCATGCTTTATCTAACAAATTTGATTTGATACTATATCTGTAAAGCGCTTAGACACAACGTTGTATCGATGTATTGGGCGCTATTTAAAAAACTGAATATTATATATATATTTATTATTATTCTTCGTCCTTTCATTTTTTGCTGTTTTTTGTTTTGCTGTTGTATAGTCTGGATACGTGAAACCCATGTGTTCATTCTGGGATGAGAAGGAAGCAGATTGGTCCCGAGACGGATGTGTTCTTGTTCCTGGAATCGCATCATCTGATAATAGCTATGATGAGGAGGGCGTGCGCTGTGCGTGTGATCATCTTACCAACTTCGCTGTTATAATGGTCAGTGCAAAGCAATCTGGCAGTTTTTTTATATCCTTTATCACCATTTAACTTCTCCCCGGACAACTAAAATCCACCCCAAATAGAAATCTACTCTAAAAGAAAGCAGAAAAATCAGAGAAGCAACTGATAACATTTTCAATTATATCTGACTAAATATATGAAAGTTATGGAATTTGGGGCACGAATGGGCACTTCAAATTGGCTGAAGCGGTAATGTCAATGTGATGTAGTGCCGGGCTACCTCTGATCTGTCCAACATATAAAATGACTAAAGTTTAAACTTTCAAAAATTCTTGCTCAGGAGGGTCTATTCTTTTTAGGAGACCTATATGCTATCTATAATGTATTTTGAGTAGAGCCCCAATGGAGAAGGAACTTATGAGAAAAACAGAAATTAATGACATTTGTGTACACGGAAAATGGGAGAGTTATCCACGTCCTACGTCACAATCCACTGACCAAACTACCAGTTAGAGATTCGCATAGACTTAGTGATCTCATATTTCAAACATTCATAACTTCCTTACTATTGGTCCGATTTATTTCAAACTTTTGCCATTCTGTTCTTGTTATTTTTCTGCTCTTATACAAAACAACTTATTTATTGGTCTTGAATTGGGTATGAATAATATGCCCACTCTTCATATCAAATAAAGTTAGAAGGTATGGACTCTTGTGTAAAAGATAGTAAAGTTAAATCCTTTTCTTTTTTCCATCAGGAATATGAATTTCCACCCCTTTCTATTTGAATAAACGCCTAATTTCTCAGTTTTCAATTAACGACACTGAGACTTTATGATAGCTCATTTCAAATAATCAGTTCCATTCGAGCATTCGAAGAAGATGTTTCAGTTTGAGCTCAAATGTCTTTCGTGTTACAGGATATTCATAGACAGGAGACATTTACCGAGGCATACAACATCCTGACTTACATTGGATGCTGTATTTCTATCTTCAGTCTTCTTGTCACATTGGCAACCTACCTGTGGAACAAGTGAGCTCATTAAAAAAATATGCAATTATTCAAGTAATGCAACGGAGACAAAATTTGTAATTATGCTCTGGCCTTTCTATCTTCGATTTTAGTTGGAAGCTCTTGAACAAAGAATGTTTACATAGACTATGAAATAGATGCAGTTTTAAAATTTATTGAATAATCATGCAACTTTAAATATGCCCCCGCTGTTTACAAATTATCTCGTAATCAAATAATTTGTGAAATACGTGTAAACTTGCAGCACAGTGCTGTTTAGTATCACTTCTGTTTGAACCAGCAGGGCTGGTGCGAACTGCTATCAACAATGTACAGTTCGTGATAGAAAGGGGATGAGGAGGGGAAAGAGGAAGGGGAGAAGAAGAAGAAGAAGAAGAAGAAGAAGAAGAAGAAGAAGAGAAACAGTCATAATATGATTACTTGCTTGGTGATGTGAGGGTTGTGTGACGAGGGTAATACATAGGTAACAATATTCATTTGTTAATATCATATCAATATTATATATTGATATTCTATCAACTTCGTAGATCAAATCCTCTGCTTCATGGTGTGCAGTTTGTATAGAATAGGAATCATATTAATTTCGAACAACTTTGGCGTACATATTTTTCTAATTTGACATCATCGTGAATAGTTACACCCAAATTGATTTTATTCAACATGCGTCGCCATTTTGAGGGTTTGCGCCAAGTAATACTAGAACAAAATCACGTAATTTCCTACATTTCACACACATTTTCCACTTTTTTTTTTCTTTGTTGTTCTTGTTGTATGCCCTTTCTTACTTATATGTTGCTGTGAAGTGATGGTAAACTTGTACATGCATGGTATAGTATCGCTTTGACGCTTTCCTAACCTAATTTTAATGTTATAATCTTGATAGGGATTTGAGGACCAAACAGACTAACCAGATCTTCATCTGTCTGTGCCTGACCTTGCTGTGTCTCTACACGACATTTGTCATCATGATTTCTCTGGATTCTATCAGAGATTATGATTATCGCGAGGTCCAAGCTGGACCCTGTGGGTTCCTGACGGCCCTAGTTCACTACTTCGTTTTGTCCTCCATTGCATGGATGGGTGTGGAAGGGTACAATACCTACCTCGTCATTGTGAAGATCTTTAACACCTACATCCAGAAGTTTATGATCAAGGCTTTCTTAGCTGCATGGGGTAGGATATTTGTTTCCTTACATCTTTTTTTTCTGGGAATAGTGCGTGCTTCTGACATGAAATGCTTGTTTTTTCGCTTACATAAATAATTGTAGATGTCTCTAGAACAGAAACCTTCGACCGGCTTGTTTGAAATTATACATGTAGGTACTGAAAGTATACATAGAAAAATGAGTTTAGCAAGGTGCGACAACCTGCTCTGCTGCGATCAACCTTCCGCAATCAAAATAATGAAGAAAGGACGTTCAAAGGAAACTCTTTTTAAATTAATATACTAAGGAAATGTTTATTTTTTTGTCTGTTTCATAATGAACAAAATAAATCAAAAACTCTACTCGGATATAACATTCATTTAGCCATGCTAACTGGAGGGTCATTAAGTATAGAAAGATCACATTAGGACGAACTATAGTCCAACAGGCATCAAATACTAATGCACATGAATTCGTCATTTTTGCCATTTATGTGTAATTGTTTCATTATTATCATTCATATTGTCATGTGATTTGTACAAAGAAGACTCTAAACCCCAGAGAGCATAATAATCACGACATCTAATTCATTAAAAAAATAATCAGCGTCGCCATAACCTTGGGAAAAAACTTGTGAGTTGGACAGCACAACGATAGCATGAGTAGACATATTGAAGTAACGGGGAAAGGAACAAGTTAGGCCCATGTCCAATGTAGGCGTATTAGGAATGACTAAACAAAATGAATTTTTCTCATACACGTATGTCATTTCAGGGATTCCTGCTTTCATCGTGGTTCTTACCGGAGCTATTGCTAGAGGCTCTTATGCTCGTGATGATCTGTAAGTGGTAATACTTGGAAGTTGAGCTGGAATATTGGATTGCTTTATAGCATAGGGTACACCTAACGATCTTCAACCTTCGGATTAAGCAAAATCACGTTTCTCTAATTTAATCTAGTTTATAGGCATTTGGTATTCATGAGTTAACAGGTATGCACTTATGATCTGGACTTGGTATCTAAGTATCACTTTCGCGGGTATGTGGTGTGATCCAAGCGCTAGAAAGGCCACCAACTTAAGACAGCTACCACACATACTAAAATCTCAGTTGTTTTGGTAACGGAGAGGACAACGAAGTTTGGTCTTTCCAAAATAAATAATGGGAGATAATGAACAATGACAATTCTTCATTTAAAACGTTTGAGGACCATGGACATTTCGTATAACTATCGCTAAGATAGTCAGTATAGATTGATTAAATTCAGTCACTTTACAAAATACATATTTACTATAAACAGATGCTTTCTACAATTCTGGGCTCAAATCGGTGGTCTCCTGATTCCCATGTCCATCATCCTCCTCATCAACATTGTCATCTTCATCCTGGTGGTTCGACAATTGATCCGGTCAGCCAACATCACTGGTCGGGTGAAAGGAGAGGCTAAGGAAGAACGTCGAGAGACTATCGTACGCGTCCAGAACGCGATCTGCATCTTGCTCCTGCTCGGTCTGACCTGGGTCACTGGATATCTTCTTTTGATCCCATTTTTCAGTCAGGTAAAGCCAAATAGCTTCAAAGATAACTCCTGTGTGGTATATATCTCTTCTAAAAAATATCCTGAAAGCTCAGTTATGAAAATTAAATACACCAACAATACCTCTTTTTATATTTAGTATCTGAAGAACATGAGAGATAGAATGCCATATACATAATTTATAATTTCTGAAACATTTGCGTTTAACAGGTGGCTCAGCCAATCTTCGTCGTCCTTAACTCCTTCCAAGGATTTTTCATCTTTCTACTCTACTGCGTCCGGAAGCCTCACATCCGTAAGAAATGGGGGCTAACTTGTTTTGACAAGTTCCTAACGAAAGGAGCAAGCACTACCAGCGGTTTGGTGAGCTCGACGGCGCCATCCTCTTCAGCTGGCCCAGTAGCCTCGGATAATTACTTGTTGCCTACCAAAGACAACAATCCCGATCCTATGTGTATGTTCAATCCGACCTATGATGTAAGCCAGGTTGAGGAAGGGGCCACACCACCTATGAACACAGATATCCAAAGTTCCTCAGAGGAACAGAAAAAGCACACGGATCGTGATGCAACAAGCACTGATGTTGTGACGGTTAGTCTCCCTCTTGATGTATCTGTCACAGATGCCACTAAGAGAGGTGATGATGTCTCCTACACCACGGATGCTGACTCGGTCAGTGTTACTCTGGATTCAAAGAATTAATTCCTGCCAGGTACCCATTTAAATTACCCGAATTGAGTGTGGCAATGTATCGCGATGTATTCATTCTTACTTATTAGCCATAAGAAGGAGTTATTAAGAGAGCATGACCTTATATTGGCATACTAGACAAGGTAGGGGTGGGCGGGGCGCCGTCCCCTCCCCCATATCCCCCCTTCCCCGAGCATTTTACAATTACCAATATCCCGTCATAATATTCACATATTCGTGATCAATTTGTATATGTTATTATATTTACTGTATTTGAATGACAAAATTATATTTCTACATTTATATACATGGTAGCTTATCAAAGTATATTCATGATCTTTAAAAAAAAATTGTGGTGTATTACTCAGAGAAGAGGTCTTTTTATTTTGAAAAAATATAATGATGATGATAGTATGATAATTTTGTTTACACTTCTTCTTAGTCATTTTTAGTCATGACATGATCAATATATATCTGTATCAATTTGTATATGTTATTATATTAGATAGCTTAGACAGATACCGAGATGTGATTGGTCCAGAGCTCGTCACGTGATATCAATTGCGAGGATCCAAATTGTTATATTTTCCTGGTTGGTTATATTTTCCTGGCTGGTGAAATGAATATATTTTTAATCAATGCATGTCGCCCTCTTGAGGACTGTATGTCACCTATTACACACATTACACCATTACCGAGGGTCATTTAATTTTTTCCAAATTTTTGTTAATGATTTTTTTTTCCCTTGAAATTATTTTTTCCACATTGTTTTTTTTTTTTTTTTTTGAACTATCTCGAAAGATTATTTTTCCGTGATTTTGAATGTCCCCGAAAAAAGAAAAAAAATTCGGGCAAAAAAAAATATGGACCCCCCCCCCCCCCCCCCCACCCCCACAAAAAAAAAACCAAGGCTATCTTATATGACAGTTATTGATTGGCAGGGGGTATATAACATTCTTTGGACCTGAAGGGAGTTATATTTCCCTCGTGACCATATTTTCCTTCAGCGCTGCGCGCTTCGGGAAAATATAACCACTTGGGAAATATAACTCCCTTCAGCGGTCCAAATAATGTTATATTACACCCCTGCCAGTCAATGACTGTATAATGTTTATTGTATTTGAATGACAAAATTATATTTCTACATTTATATACACGGTAGCTTATCAAAGTATATTCATGATCTTTAAAAACAAAATTGTGGTGTATTACTCAGAGAAGAGGTCTTTTTATTTTGAAAAAATATAATGATGATGATGATGGTATGATAATTTTGTTTACACTTCTTCTTAGTCATTTTTAGTCATGACATGATCAATATATATCTGTATCAATTTGTATATGTTATTATGTTTATTGTATTTGAATGACAAAATTATATTTCTACATTTATATACATGGTAGCTTATCGAAGTATATTCATGATCTTCAAAAAAAATTGTGGTGTATTACTCAGAGAAAGGTCTTTTTATTTTGAAAAAAAGTATAATGATGATGATAATGGTATGATAATTTTGTTTACACTTCTTCTTAGTCACCTTTAGTCATGACATGATAAATATATATCTGTATATAATGGTATTGCGAAAGGAAATTAGACAATAAAGGTTGCGTAGCTTAAATCGAAGTTTTGACATCTTTGGAAAGGTTGACCAAAAAATTGTTTCCGTCAGGAATCGAACTAGGTCAATGGGCTGAGAACAATAATGCCTTCACTACAGAGACGGTCCAGTGGCTATGGCGACACAGATTCAGTTGACCGACAGATTGACCAATATCTAACCTTCATTTATTAATTCCTTTGTTGGGGGCAGGTGAGTTTCCAAGCGAATGCATTCAGATACTCGTATAAGTCAGAATAATTGTAAAAAGATATACAACCACTTTGGGAAATCTCTTGGAAAAATATATATTCATGTATTTGTAAACATTGTGTATATATGTGTTTGTGTATATGGAATTCATTGAAACATGACCCCCAAAAAAAAATTGTGGTGTATTACTCAGAGAAGAGGTCTTTTTATTTTGAAAAAATATAATGATGATGATGATGGTATGATAATTTTGTTTACACTTCTTCTTAGTCATTTTTAGTCATGACATGATCAATATATATCTGTATCAATTTGTATATGTTATTATGTTTATTGTATTTGAATGACAAAATTATATTTCTACATTTATATACATGGTAGCTTATCGAAGTATATTCATGATCTTTAAAAAAAAATTGTGGTGTATTACTCAGAGAAGAGGTCTTTTTATTTTGAAAAAAAAGTATAATGATGATGATGATGGTATGATAATTTTGTTTACACTTCTTCTTAGTCATTTTTAGTCATGACATGAAAAATATATATCTGTATCAATTTGTATATGTTATTATGTTTATTGTATTTGAATGACAAAATTATATTTCTACATTTATATACATGGTAGCTTATCGAAGTATATTCATGATCTTCAAAAAAAAATTGTGGTGTATTACTCAGAGAAAGGTCTTTTTATTTTGAAAAAAAGTATAATGATGATGATAATGGTATGATAATTTTGTTTACACTTCTTCTTAGTCACCTTTAGTCATGACATGATAAATATATATCTGTATATAATGGTATTGCGAAAGGAAATTAGACAATAAAGGTTGCGTAGCTTAAATCGAAGTTTTGACATCTTTGGAAAGGTTGACCAAAAAATTGTTTCCGTCAGGAATCGAACTAGGTCAATGGGCTGAGAACAATAATGCCTTCACTACAGAGACGGTCCAGTGGCTATGGCGACACAGATTCAGTTGACCGACAGATTGACCAATATCTAACCTTCATTTATTAATTCCTTTGTTGGGGGCAGGTGAGTTTCCAAGCGAATGCATTCAGATACTCGTATAAGTCAGAATAATTGTAAAAAGATATACAACCACTTTGGGAAATCTCTTGGAAAAATATATATTCATGTATTTGTAAACATTGTGTATATATGTGTTTGTGTATATGGAATTCATTGAAACATGACCCCCAAAAAAAATTGTGGTGTATTACTCAGAGAAGAGGTCTTTTTATTTTGAAAAAATATAATGATGATGATGATGGTATGATAATTTTGTTTACACTTCTTCTTAGTCATTTTTAGTCATGACATGATCAATATATATCTGTATCAATTTGTATATGTTATTATGTTTATTGTATTTGAATGACAAAATTATATTTCTACATTTATATACATGGTAGCTTATCGAAGTATATTCATGATCTTTAAAAAAAAATTGTGGTGTATTACTCAGAGAAGAGGTCTTTTTATTTTGAAAAAAAAGTATAATGATGATGATGATGGTATGATAATTTTGTTTACACTTCTTCTTAGTCATTTTTAGTCATGACATGAAAAATATATATCTGTATCAATTTGTATATGTTATTATGTTTATTGTATTTGAATGACAAAATTATATTTCTACATTTATATACATGGTAGCTTATCGAAGTATATTCATGATCTTCAAAAAAAAATTGTGGTGTATTACTCAGAGAAAGGTCTTTTTATTTTGAAAAAAAGTATAATGATGATGATAATGGTATGATAATTTTGTTTACACTTCTTCTTAGTCACCTTTAGTCATGACATGATAAATATATATCTGTATATAATGGTATTGCGAAAGGAAATTAGACAATAAAGGTTGCGTAGCTTAAATCGAAGTTTTGACATCTTTGGAAAGGTTGACCAAAAAATTGTTTCCGTCAGGAATCGAACTAGGTCAATGGGCTGAGAACAATAATGCCTTCACTACAGAGACGGTCCAGTGGCTATGGCGACACAGATTCAGTTGACCGACAGATTGACCAATATCTAACCTTCATTTATTAATTCCTTTGTTGGGGGCAGGTGAGTTTCCAAGCGAATGCATTCAGATACTCGTATAAGTCAGAATAATTGTAAAAAGATATACAACCACTTTGGGAAATCTCTTGGAAAAATATATATTCATGTATTTGTAAACATTGTGTATATATGTGTTTGTGTATATGGAATTCATTGAAACATGACCCCCAAAAAAAAAATTGTGGTGTATTACTCAGAGAAGAGGTCTTTTTATTTTGAAAAAATATAATGATGATGATGATGGTATGATAATTTTGTTTACACTTCTTCTTAGTCATTTTTAGTCATGACATGATCAATATATATCTGTATCAATTTGTATATGTTATTATGTTTATTGTATTTGAATGACAAAATTATATTTCTACATTTATATACATGGTAGCTTATCGAAGTATATTCATGATCTTTAAAAAAAAATTGTGGTGTATTACTCAGAGAAGAGGTCTTTTTATTTTGAAAAAAAGTATAATGATGATGATAATGGTATGATAATTTTGTTTACACTTCTTCTTAGTCACCTTTAGTCATGACATGATAAATATATATCTGTTTATAATGGTATTGCGAAAGGAAATTAGACAATAAAGGTTGCGTAGCTTAAATCGAAGTTTTGACATCTTTGGAAAGGTTGACCAAAAAATTGTTTCCGTCAGGAATCGAACTAGGTCAATGGGCTAAGAACAATAATGCCTTAACTACAGAGACGGTCCAGTGGCTATGGCGACACACAGATTCAGTTGACCGACAGATTGACCAATATCTAACCTTCATTTATTAATTCCTTTGTTGGGGGCAGGTGAGTTTCCAAGCGAATGCATTCAGATACTCGTATAAGTCAGAATAATTGTAAAAAGATATACAACCACTTTGGGAAATCTCTTGGAAAAATATATATTCATGTATTTGTAAACATTGTGTATATATGTGTTTGTGTATATGGAATTCATTGAGACATGACCCAATATCCAGTTCAACAATTAACATGTCTAAGTCGATGTAAACAAAAAGATATTTTTCAAAGGATTATATCCATGGCTGAGTAGGTGATTATCTTTCCCTTCTTTCTTACTTTTTTTTTTTCATTCTTTCTTATTTTACGCTCCTTTATATTCTTTGTGCGAAACCTTCTGTATGAATATGTGTATATTGGTGTGTATGTGCGTGATTTTATTATGCAAGTCTTTTCCTTGTTATTAATTATGCTCATTATCTTGTTCTTGTTGCTTCCTAGTGATCCTAACCATTATATTGTCTATTATCATTTTAGCTAAAAGTTTAATAAAGATTTAAATTGAATGTATGTAATTGTGTGTATTATGTATATATATATATATATATATATATATATATATACTCCTGCTGCAGTTGACGACAAATAGTCAAGTGAAAAATACATAATTAAAAAATCGTAGGATATAAAAAAAATATACAAATTTTCGGCTTTAAACCTTTTTCACGTAATGACAAATGTATCCAAAACCAGCGTTCTTCAAAACTTAAAAAGAGGACCCAGCAATATATATATATATATATATATATATATATATATATATATTATATAAATAATCTATATGCAGTGGATCAAATGGTGCCTCATACATGCAGT